GGTGAGGTAAAGCGAGGCAGGGAAGGGTTTAGTTTCCTCGCTTGCGTGCCCTTATAGATGCTAAATTAGACACCCCCCACCTGCTTTGAAAACATGAGCAGGGCTGTCAAGTGAGCAAGCAAATAGGGTTCCCGCCATTGTGTCTAGCTGAGCCCTGAGATATGTGAAGTGCTTTGAGCAATCCTAAATATTTGTACAGTGGTACCTCGGGTTAAGTTCTTAATTCGTTCCAGAGGTCTGTTCTTAACCTGAACTGTTCTTAACCTGAAGCACCACTTTAGCTAATGGGGCCTCCCGCCACCGCCACGCAATTTCTGTTCTCATCCTGAAGCAAAGTTCTTAACCCAAGGTACTATTTCTGGGTTAGCGGAGTCTGTAACCTGAAGCGTATGTAAGCCGAGGTACCATGTACTATTATCCCCACTCGCTGTTAACATTCAGCTGCAAAATGTGGGTATTTTGTGCAGGGCTAGTGGGGGCTTTTGCTTTCTGTTGTTGCATGAATTACGTTTCAAATTCTCGACAGGGATATGTCAAGGCGAACAGGTGGAGAGATCCATGGGGGGAAGGAATTGTTTCCTGTGGGCTTTATCTCTCAAGCTTTATTGATGGCGTGACTCCACATCTAGGCCCCTAATCCGACCCCTTCCCCTATTTGAAGCTAGACAGCATCACGGTGTGAAATTCTGGGCAGTCCAGAAAGGGAGTTACTAATAAACAGGATGCTGGGGCTACCTTCGCTATAGGCCACCCTATAATTAGAAAGGAGCATTGCTTGGCGGTGACGCAGAAGTCACGTAATCCCACATGGAGCCCCTTATTCCGAATTGCTTTTCTTTTCTAAAACTGATCTCCAGGGAACAGCAGTGGTGTTAGTCGTACCCAAGAGTAGACCCGTTGAAAGTAATGAACACAACTAACATAGGCCCATTAATTGCACTGGGTCTAACCAGGGTGGATTTGATTTAAATCAAATCAATTTAAATCACGATTTAATTCACTAGTCAGTAAGACTTGATTTAATTTTTTTTTTTTAACAGAAAGACTCATTCTTGCTGGTACAGTGGTACCTCTGGTTACAGACGCTTCAGGTTACAGACTCTGCTAACCCAGAAATAGTACCTCGGGTTAAGAACTTTGTTTCAGGATGAGAATAGAAATTGCGGCCCAGTGGCAGCAGGAGGCCCCATTAGCTAAAGTGGTGCTTCAGTTTAAGAACAGTTTCAGGTTAAGAACGGACCTCCGGAACGAATTAAGTTCTTAACCAGAGGTATCACTGTATAATCTTAATATTTACAACCAGATGAAGGTTTCATTTTTGGAATAATAAATTTTCAGAGTAGTTTTTACAGTTATATCAAAAATTACTGATTTGGTTATACTATTGGAAATACATAGACAGATAATTATGAAATTATTGTGAGGTTTAATAAGTTAACTGTTTATATTTGGACAACTTTTCTGCTGTACTTTATTGGAAGGAGAAAAATAATCATTTCCTTAATAACAATTTATTTAACTAAAGCAATAACATTATAGCATATGTATCCATGTTTGTTAACTGATGTGGTTAAACTTAAAAAAACAAAAACAAAACTTAGACTGAGTTTTAGCACACATGAAAAACTTAAAACAAATCCTTATAGGATTTCCCGATGAATAGCCTTTGGACTATAATGTAACTTAAACAGAAAACTATCTTTAGAAGATTTTTTCCTCCAGAAGCATTTTCTTTTAAAAATCAAATTTAAATCAAAATAATCTAATTTAAATGGGACGCGGGTGGTGCTGTGGTCTAAACCACTGAGCCTAGGGCTTGCTGATCGGAAGGTCGGTGGTTTGAATCCCTGCGATAGGGTGAGCTCCTATTGCTCTGTCCCAGCTCCTGCCAACCTAGCAGTTTGAAAGCACCTCAAAGTGCAAGTAGATAAATAGGTACTACTCCGGCGGGAAGGTAAATGGCATTTCCGCGCACTGCTCTGGTTCTCGAGAAGCGGCTTACTCATGCTGGCCACATGACCTGGAAAAACTGTCTGCGGACAAACGTCGGCTCCCTCGGCCAGTAAAGCGAGATGAGCGCCACAACCTTAGAGTTGTCCATGACTGGACTTAACAGTCAGCGGTCCCTTTACCTTTTAAATCTAATTTAAATCCAAATTATCCAATTTAAATTTTAAAAAATCTGATTTTTAGATTTTTTTAAAAAAATCATTGATTTTTACCCACCCTGCGTCTAACCAGTCATGTCCCGTTTTTTGGTCTGGCACTTTGGCGTGATTCAGCTGGCCAGAGCGCCAGAACAAAAGGCCCTCAGGTTTTTTTTGGGTTTCATGCTCTTGCCCGACGCGTCCCGATTTTGATCCGCGGGATGTTGGAGGGTGTGTTGCTCTGAGTGGAACTTTGTTGGACGCAGCACTCTCTGTTGCTGTTTACATGAGACGGAAACGATGCTACCAATGTCACGTTTCAAGAACACAAAATTATTTATGGATGTGTCGCTCCAGAAACTCAGGCCGCATTCACACCAACACATTTGAAGCACTTGAGAGAGCCATGACATTCCTCCCTAAGGATTCTGGGAGCTGTAGTTTGCTAAGAGAGTTTTTATGAGGCCCAGAGTTCCCTGTGAAGAGAAAGAACACAGAAAGAACCTTAGTTTTCCATGTATAAGACGAGGGTTTTTTAATTTAAAAATTATGTTTAAAATTGGGGGTCGTCTTAAATACCGATAGTGCATAGGGGGAACGTGGGATTGGTTGCGGCTATTTGGCGTGTTATTGTTGGCTGCGGCAAGGCTGGTGTTGATTGGGTGTCACTGCGGCAACAGGGCGGGCGATTGGCGTCTTCTGCTGGCGCGGGGACAGACGATAGGTGGCTTTTGGGACACGTGCTAGTGGCAGCGATTTTCGGCATAAAAAGCTCAACAACTTTTCTTAATTTGGAGTCCCCAAAAATGGAGTCTTATACACGGGGGCATCTTATACACGGAAAAATACGGGACTTATTTATGCTGCACGTAGTTGAACTATGGAACTCGCTGCTACAGGATGCCGTGAGAGCCGCCAACCTAGGTGAATTAAAAAGTGGATTATGGGAAGCCTTAATAAAATCTTATTTAAAGAGGATTAGACAAATTCATGGAGGAGAGGACTGTCGATGGTTACCAGCCATGATGGCTGCGCTCTGCGCCCACAGTTAAAGGCAGTGATGCTTCTGAATATCAGTTGCTGGAAACCACAGGAGGGGAGAATGGTCTTGTGTTCGAATCCTGATTGCAGCCCAATAATCTGTTCAACAGCCTCACCTTTTGTAGCTGGAGTCAGTCAGGACTCCACTCTCCCAGGCCAGATGGGAAAAGGCCAGCAAGGCAGGGTGCAGGTCTTCCAGGGCTCACAGCCGAGATGGTCTCATTTAAAACAACACAGAGGAAAATTTAAAAACAATTTAAAAGCAGCTGCAAGCCAGGCTGTCAGGCTGGTTATACACGACCCCTCTTTCAGTATTATTTGCGCCTGCAAACGTTTTATTTATTTATTTAAAAAAAAAAAATTACACACCGCTAATTCACAAAGAAGCTGTCAAAGCGGTTCACGACAACTGTACACGAAACTACACGATACAAAACCATATCAGTCAGTTAAAATCAGAGAAATCACATAGCTGCGGTGGATGTATAAGACCGATGGAATAGAAAAGTTTTCAGCAGGTGTTAAAAGTTAGGGTGGTCTCACGGCTTCATTTCCAGCCAGTGCATATCCTGTAGCTTCCTGCTGAAATCCTGCCACTATTCATACCACAAATGCTGTGGGTTTTTCTTTTAGTTGTCCTGCTTTTATTGTGATGTAGCTTCTCCAGACAGCAGTAGTGTGGTAGCATTGGGCAAGCATTGCAGGGCAACTAAGATAAAGATAAAAAAAGATAAAGGACCCCAGGCCGGTTAAGTCCAGTCAAAGGCGACTATGGGGTTTCAGCGCTCTTCTCGCTTTCAGGCCGAGGAAACCGGCATTTGTCCACAGACAGCTTTCCGGGTCATGTGGCCACCATGACTAAACCGCTTCTGGCACAACGAGACACCGTGACGGAAGCCAGAGCGCATGGAAATGCCATTTACCTTCCCGTTGCCGCAGTACCTATTTATCTACTCGCACTGGTGTGCTTTCGAACTGCTAGGTTGGCAGGAGCTGGGACAGAGCAACGGGAGCTCACCCCGTCACAGGGATTCAAACCACCGACCTTCCGATCACCAAGCCCAAGAGGCTCAGTGGTTTAGACCACAGCGCCACCCACGTCCCTGCTAATAAAGCAGAAAGAGCCACCAACACAAAAACATTTTTACCTCAGGAACATTTCAAGCAGCAAAAGGGACTTACTGCACTGCAGTATAATTTGTACTGCTCAAGTGTAGCTGGCTCAGACCCCATATATTGGAATGAAATGGATTGCTTCTCCTCTGGGTTTTACAATTTGCGCCGCGAGCCAAGTTCTTAGGAGCATTTATCAAAGCAAATGAAGAGAAGATGAAAGAATTGGATGGAAAGGGCGATCTAATTAAAGAGATGATACATATGAGCATCTAAATGCTGATTGGCGGATGCTTTCATGAGGCTGGATCATGAGATATCATGTCATAATTTCCAATTCACTTCCAGCTCAGTTTTTTTTTTTAAAAGTATTCACTGGCTGAATCCTGGTTGACCTTGCTACACTGCAAGAAACAGAAGGAGACTACCAAAAAGTGTCCAGGCTTCGGTGTGTGTGTGTGTGTGTGTGTTTAGTATCGAAGAGCACTTCCAGATTACCTGAATGAACATTTATTCTGATTTGCTTGCAGGGAGGTTAGATGACGTTGCATCAAAGCAGGTGTTATCTCACACTTTCCACTGCCACTTACCCTCGCCACTTTCCTTATTGGGGTCTTTGGGGGAAGCGGGTTTGTATTTCAATTATAATTTTGTTTGTATTTGTATTTCAATTATAATTTTGCAACCTGTATTTGCCAGGATGTGGCTGAATCTCACTGGAAGATAGCGACAGTCTTGAAGTACATAGAGCAGTTAAGATGGACAACTTTCTTACAGGTCCGTCTCCTGTGACTTTAACATTAACCTGTATATTATTGTTATTTATCATTATTATCAGTTTCACAATAGAACGATGGGTGTGTGCGTCCTCCAAACATCTATATTGGGACTAATGCTTTTTCACATGTTCATAAATGGTGGAGATTGGGGATAACAGACATGGTATCCTCTTCTGGTGTGGACTAAAAGGTAAAGGTAAAGGGACCCCTGACCGTTAGGTCCAGTCGAGGCCGACTCTGGGGTTGCGGTGCTCATCTTGCTTTATTGGCCGAGAGAGCTGGCGTACAGCTTCCAGGTCATGTGGTCAGCATGACTAACCTGCTTCTGGTGAACCAGAACAGCACACGGAAACGCCGTTTACCTTCCCGCCGGAGTGGTACCTATTTATCTACTTGCACTTTGAGGTGCTTTCGAACTGCTAGGTTGGCAGGAGCAGGGACCGAGCAACGGGAGCTCACCCCGTCACGGGGATTCGAACCGCCGACCTTCTGATCGGCAAGTCCTAGGCTCTGTGGTTTAACCCACAGCGCCACCCGTGTCCTGCTGGTATGGACTACAACTCTCATAATTTCTGAACGTTAGCTACGTTGCCTGGGGCTGATAGCTGGAGTCTGGAAACATCTGCAGAGCATCACATTTGTTACCTGCGAGCCATAAGCTGGTTGCATTTGCTGATCATATCAAAGCAAGCAAATTTTGAAATTTGAAAGGAACAGCTTTTCCTGCCTTCAAATAAATGGGTAAATTAAAAATTGAAATGTAGGTGAATTGTCGTGAGTCCTGGGTGCTTCAAGTTTCTGGGTGCAAATCTGTGGTTTTAGAAACGGAAATCTGAGCTGTTCACAATACCTGACTTTGTGTTTCATGGTGAAATGCGGAATCCCACAATGGAATCTGAACTTTGCAGCTGGGAATTGCACATGACTTGACATTCCAGCAGTTGCGAGCTGCTGAAATGTGTGGCTTGCATCTGTCCTTCTGAATGCACCCCTTCCTAGTTCATTTTAGCTAGAAAATGATCTGACCTTTTTGCTATAAGGGGTATTTTCATAGCCTTGCTTAATTCTTTCATCCATCCTTGTTTTCCTTCTGGGGAATGTTGTTTGCTTATGCAGTTAAGCCTGTTGCTAGAGATTGGCTTCTCTCTGTATGTGTGAAAGCTGAAGGGCAAAAGTCTAGAAAGGGAGTGGTGAGTTATGTTAAGTGGAGGTTTTTGTGTGTGAATATTGGAGAGGAGACAAGCATTTTCATTCTCTCTGCAAGTTCAACATATCTAAGAACTTGGGGGGGAAATGCAAAGAGCTGGGTTTAGAGGAGTGCGAAACTGCCTTCTTTCTTGGACCAGCAGTCTCCAGAACGGACATACAGTGGTACCTTGATTCTCAAATGCCTTGGTTCTCAAACAACGTGGAACCCAAACACTGCAAACTTGGAAGTATGTGTTCTGGTTTGCGAACTTTTTTCAGAAGCCGAATGTGCTCCATTTTGAATGTTACACTTCCGTTTTGAGTGCTATGCTGAGGTCTGCCTGATTTTGCTGTTTATTTTGCATTTTTGCTTTTGTGGCTCTTTGTTTTGTTTTTGTGGCTAGGTGGAACCCAGTTCAGCTACCGACTGATTGATTGTGTCACTGCAGTACATTGTTTATTGCTTTCATTTATGGATCAATGGTATCGTTAGATAGTAAAATTCATGTTAAATTGCTGTTTTAGGGGTTGTTTTTAAAAGTCTGGAACGGATTAATCTGTTTTGCATTACTTTCTATGGAAAAACGCTTTGGTTTTGGAACCGACTTCCGGAATGGATTAAGTTTGAGAACCAAGGTACCACTGTAATCAGTCCAGACTGAAAAAAATGATAGGGAAAGCTGATTGTCCCCCAGCTGACCACTCCATTGTCCAAAATGAAAGGATGCCCCCCCCAACCATACTTTTTAATAGCCTGGCTGTGGATGTGGAACAATAAGGGCTTGCCGAATGGACCATTCAGCTGGTCTGCATTTAAAACTTCCTTGGAATGCAAGTCACATTCTGCCCAAGCTGGGGTCCGGAGACAGTTTTGCTCACTCTCACCCTTAGCACGTGTGACTCTGAGACAATTTGGAAAGTTGGTGCTCTGGAGGAAGGAGGAGGAGGAGGAGGGATGGGTGGTTCTGTCAGTTTTGGTTCTTCTCAGCTTCTCGTTTTTCCAATGTTTAGATTACCGCACTTCCACATCGGTTTGCAATATATTTTTTTAAGGCCTTGTGAAAATTCCACACCGGTTTGCGAAATTCTTTCTTTAAAGGTCTTCTGAAAACGAGTGAACAGACAAATAAATAGTACAGTGTATGCCTTTTTCTACATGTTAATGCAGCTGGAGACTGTACTTGGTAGGGCAACACAGCCAGATTAGCGGGGTATAAATAAAAGAATAATAATAATTCAGGGTAATTCAGGGAAGTGCCAGTTTTAAAGTACAGTGGTACCTTGGGTTACAAACCCCTCAGGTTACAAACTCTTCGGGTTACAGACTCCACTAACCCGGCAGTAGTGCCTCGGGTTAAGAACTTTACCTCAGGATGAGAACGGAAATTGTGTGGCGGCACCGGGAGGCCCCATTAGCTAAAGTAGTACCTCAGGTTAAGAACAGACCTCCGGAACGAATTAAGTTCGTAACCAGAGGTACCTTTGTGTTTGGTCTACAAACGCCTAGGGACGTGCAAGCTGAATCAAATCTCTCCCCCATCCCTGAGAAAGACACAGGCAGTCTTTTTGGGGTGGGTGGGGGAGCATGGAAGGGGAAAGAGTGGGACATAAATTTAATAAATAAAACCAGAGGTTAAAGGACGTCGGCCTCCGTCGCAGCCTCCGATCGTTTCCCTTGAGCAGGGACCCACGATGACGTCCGGCTCTATAGCCTGTTTAATATAATGGTTAATTCTCTGCTGGCAGGGAGTCAGGACTGTAGGGCATCCACAGAGCTTTGCAGCTTTCCACAGCAGGCCAGTTAAGCTGGGCTGGCACTGGGATCCCAGCTGCCGGGCATTCTTGCCTACATAGCTGGGATTCCTTGCCTTCCTTACCCCTTCAGCGCATTTTGCGCTTTTTCTCTCTCTTTCTTTCTCCAGGAGGCCCTGGGAGATCTCTGGGTTGCAGGGGGTTAAAAACCAGCTGGGCGACATGAGGACACCCTCAGCTGCTGACAGGAGCTGGGGGTGGAGTGGGGTGGGCAAGGGACAGCAGCAGCACCCCAATTTGTTATCTGACGGACATCCCTGCAGGGGATACCCTTTAATCCCGCTGAGGCTTTAATATGAGCCAGAGTTTAGCCCCATAACATGTTTTTAATGTTTAGAGTTCAGCCCAAGGCCACCATTTCAGGTTTAAGTAGATTTCAGTGGTGGGTTGGTGGGAGACTCATAGCAAAGTTCAGTGGCCTGCTCTTGGGTATATATTTGTGGTTTCTCTGCACGGTTCAATTCCCCCCCCCCCTTATCAGTAATAATGATGATGATATAATAGAATATAATAGAATATAATAGAATCATCATCATTAACAACAAGAACAACAACAACAAGAACGGCTTTCTACCTCTTCTCCAACCTGCTCTTGGACAGGTTGGACAGCTTTTACACTGTTTTAAAAACATTATTATTAATACTACAGTGGTACCTCGGGTTAAGTACTTAATTCGTTCCGGAGGTCTGTACTTAACCTGAAACTGTTCTTAACCTGAAGCACCACTTTAGCTAATGGGGCCTCCTGCTGCTGCCACGCCGCCAGAGCCCGATTTCTGTTCTTATCCTGAAGCAAAGTTCTTAACCTGAAGCACTATTTCTAGGTTAGCAGAGTGTGTAACCAGAAGCGTATGTAACCTGAAGCGTATGTAACCCGAGGTACCACTGTACAGTGGAACCTTGGAAGCCCAACGCCTTTGAACTCGGACGTTTCTGTTCCCGAGCGATCAAAACCTGGAAGTGATTGTTCCGGTTTCCGAACAATTTTCGGAACCCGAACATCTGGGGCAGCTTCCAATTGCATCCTGCAGCCAATCAGAAGCTGCACCTTGATTTTTGAACTGTTCCGGGAGTCGAACAGACTCCTGGAACGGGTTAAATTCGAAAACCAAGGTACGACTGTATTATTAACATTTCTTTCCTACCTTTCATTTAGGATACGTATAACTCCAATTTCTCTCTCCCCCACCCTTGCAATTTATCCTCACAACAACCCTGTGAGGTAGATTAGGTTGGGCACAGTGATACTTTCTAGCCCAAACTCCACCAATGAGTTTCAGAGCTGACACAAGATTTATAAAGGTCTTTGTTGGGGTTGCTGACTTACATTTTTCAGCGTTATAGGTTCTCCAGAGAAGAATCACATTAAGGACAGTGTTCTGCCTCCTGCTTCCTCTGAAATCTGGAATGGAGAACTTGTGGCTCCCAGATGTTTGCTTCCAACTCCCATCAGCTCCAGCCAACATAGTAAAGGACGATGGAAGTTGAAGTCCAGCAATACCCCCCTGCTTTAAACAGACCCATTCCATTCCAGCCCTAGGGCCTAGCGAAACAACACCAAAGGAAAGCATTTTTTTGTACATGGCATGAGAGCATCTCCCTCACTACTTGATACTATTGCATACCCAGGATCATTTGTTATTTGTTTGCATGTTTATTAGGGTCGCCATATGCCCAGAATTTCCTTGACATAGTCAGAGTACGGCAGTCGGAAGCAGTGTCCAGGTGGAAATTGCTGAAATGTTTGGGGGAAATCCGGACATATGGCAACCCATGTCAGAAGTCTAGATTTTGCCGAAGTTCCTTGAAAATTGCTCAAAAATTTTATTTATTTATTTTTGAGGTTTTGCAAAATAAAAACGAGAAGCTTAACAACTTTGGCCAGAAAGAAAAAAACCTCAACAACGTTTGTGTCCGGATTTTCACTTTTTGAAATATGGGAACCCTAATGTTTATAAACCACACTTCCATATGAAATATTGCAAGGCGGCATCCGACCGAAAAACACACAGGGCTGCGTTAAAAACAACAAGAATGGCAGATGTCAGTTTAACCCAAGGGAAACGGAAGGTGTGGGTGACTTTTTGGTTGGGGTGGCACCCCAAATTTCCCATAGCCCCTCAACCCCCTCCTGATCTATACCCATGGGAGACCTCCCATAGAATCGTAGAATTGTAGCGCTGGAAGGCTCCCTGAAGCTCATCTGGTCCAACCAGCTCAAACTATTTGCCTTACTAACCCAGATTTGTCTATATTGACTGGTATTTCCTCTCCAGGGTTTGGGGCAGGATCTTTCCCCCCAGGTCTGAGACCTTCTGCATGCAAACATCTGCCCTACTGTGTACTATAATAGGTCCATCTTTTAGAGGGAGCAGTCGTTGTTGAAGGTCTGAAAATTTCCCGGCCCTGGAGTGTGGCAGTTTCTCCCAATTCTTCTACTAGATATGGGATTCCTCCTCCTCGTTGAATCCGAAGGGGGGTGTCCCCGATCAATGCCTTGATTCATCCCCCTTTTCCCTTTCACTTTGGCACCCCCTTGCCCCACGGCCTGTCAGCTGCTGTTTACTAGCCTTAGATCAAGGCAGCTGTTGGGACATTCCAGCAAAGGATTGTGGGAGCAGCTGGCCTACAGCCCTTTCACCCTCACCCACCCCCACTTCACCCACCACCCCCAACCTGCTGGTCAAGAAACAGCAGGAGGGGAGTGTGGCCTGGGTTCCTAGGAAACAGATTTGGATTCCTGCGACTGTTTCTTAGGGAAGCTGCGCCGAGTTAGTGGAGTGTTTATTTGGAACATTTCCCCCTCACAATATGAGAACGTCTTATGAAGGAACGTTCTTTGAAATGCCCCGTGTCTTGTAGAGTGTGCATACTCTGATTATTAAGCAATTTGAGTCACTCATTAACTGGAAATGTTTTGGCCTCTGCCTTTGAGCCACTTGCCCACACATTTTGGGGGAGAATGCGTTTCCAGGGGTACTGATGGTGCTTCAGGATGGTTTGTTTATTGAGCATTCTTCCTGATTCATTTGCAGAGATTAGACGACTGTTCATTCCAATTTATTCTTTTTTTGTGTGGGGGGAGGTTAGATGATGTTGCATCAAAGCAAGTGTCAACGGGCCGTGTGTCTCGCTGCCTTTCCCCTTCCCCTTATTGCGAAAAGTCTGAATTTTGGGTGGGTGGGTTTATTACTTGAGACGTCCCAGTCAGCCATAATTGCACAACCGGAATCTGCTAAGTCTGTGATTCGAAACAATGACAGCCTCAGACCTGTATGGATGCCACAGCATTGAGGACTTAAAATTGAGGGGCTGATTACTTTTTTTAAAAAATGACCAGGGGTGGTAAAATCCGTGTGTGTGTGTGAATTCTTTGCCTCAAACCTTCCGCAATCCGGATCCTTCTCCCTCCAGAGGTGATTCTTTTCTTGAGAAAGAAGGTTCCCATTTTGTGGGAATCACCTGGCCTGCAGCCAAATATGTGACTAGGCTAGTCAGATGAAAATGTCATACAAATTGTGTAGAAATATTGGTTCTGAAGCAAGTGTTTTGAACTGCCCTCTGGGGGCTGAGTTGCACAGAGCCCAGAAATGCCTACTCAGATATATTTGAATTTTGATTCAGATAGATAGATAGATAGATAGATAGATAGATAGATAGATAGATAGATTGATTATAGAGTGCAGTGATGGGGTGGGGAGGTGTAGAAACAGACCCCAAGAAGAAATATTTAGGGAGAAAGAAGCTGCCTCAGGATGGGACCCTCAGAATAAAGACCATTGAAGACTGAGCATGCTAAGTGTCCATAGAAAGTCACTGAGAAGAAGGAAAAGACAGATAACCTGGTGGAATGGGAATGGAATGAAGTATCCTGGAATGGGGCCTAGCTGACTGGCTGGTACCCTGAACTGGAATTCCCCGCTTTGCCTCATTTTGTTTTGCTTGTCATCACTTTGACGTTGAAATGGCTTGATCAGGGCCTCTGGCAAAGGTCCAGTTGTATTACTCAAGAGCCTTTAAACTGCTCATGACGTAAATCAATAGGGTTGAGGTGCCCACCGGTTGATGAATCAAATGTTGTCAATTGACTGTCCTTTAATGACCACGGTCAACTATTATCAAATAATCTGAGGCTGCCGTCGGGTAGATACTGGTTCAGTGTTTTAATTTCATTGCTTAATTGCATCTGACAGCATATGGGGGGGGGGCTCCAGTTTCCTGCAGGTTCCTCTTGCTCTGCTCTATTAGCACAAAACTAGATATTACTAGCAAAAATGTGGGTTTCTGAATCCCAATGACAGCTTCGTTTATGGGAAAATAGCTTTGTTGCTTGCTGGCTGAGGGTGGGGGAAGGACCCATTTAGAGCAGAGATGAGGATGGAGAGTGGGGAGGCCGTGGGGTTTGTGGTCTGGAGAAGGGAGTGTTGGCTGGGGAGAGGCCTGAGGGCCATTTCCTTCTTCCTGTGAGTGGTCTGAAAAAGACACATTGTGTGGAAGCCTTTCTGAAGCGAAGTAGGTCTGGACCTAGCCAGTACCTGGGTGAATATCCACCTGGGAGCCCAAGGCTGACTTGGGCAATGGGAGAAAGGCAGTATATAAATGCAATTAAAGAAAAAGAGAAAACCCAGTTGCCTCACGAAACACTTCCTCTCATCTTGGGTTCCAGGTATATATTTGCCTTGCAAATACAGAGTGGGAAAAATGGCAGGTGGAGACAGAGCTAAGTGCTGCCTTCTCACCAGAATTGCTTTTCATAATCAAAGCAACAATTGGGACTTAAAATTTAAAACGGTCTTGGTCCAGTATATCTGAAGGAGTGTCTCCACCCCCATCATTCTACCCGGACACTGAGGTCCATCACCAAGGGCCTTCTGGCGGTTCCCTCACTGCGAGAAGCCAAGTTACAGGGAACCAGGCAGAGGGCCTTCTCGGTAGTGGCGCCTTCCCTGTGGAACACCCTCCCACCAGATGTCAAAGAGAACAACAACTACCAGGCTTTTAGAAGACATCTGAAGGCAGCCCTGTTTCGGGAAGCTTTTAATGTTTGATGTATTATAGTATTTTAATATTCGTTTGGAAGCCGCCCAGAGTGGCTGGGAAAGCCCAGCCAGATGGGCGGGGTATAAATAATAAATTATTATTATTATAAAATTATTCATTTGCTTGCAATACCTGCTTTCGCCCTTTGCTGTTTTATAGCTGCTATTTTGCACGTTTCATTTCTGTAATTATACCTTTTTTCAAAACGTGTCTCCTTGCTCTGCCCTTGAAGCTCCAAGACCAATATCACTCAGACCCAGTCTCCCAGTTGCTTGCCTTTTTACATACAACTCCTCCGGGGGTGGTACTAGCTGCTAGATTCCTCCTCTGTAGTCTCAGTGTTGTATTTGTCCAACTCAACAGGGTCGAGGATGGGACACACCTAGAATTAGCTGGCTCCTGCCTGTCCTCTAGCCACCTTACCTGTCCCAATGGGCACCAGCCAACGCTGCCTTAAACCATGGTTCGTCATTGGCTTATGAATCATGGCTTGTTAGGTACATTCAGCTAAGTTTTATGAGGGTGGCACTGTGGTCTACTGTCCTACCTGGGACACAGGTGGTGCTGTGGTCTAAACCACTGAGTCTCTTGGGCTTTCTGACCAGAAGGTCAGCGGTTTGAATCCCACGATGGGGTGAACTCCTGTTGCTCTGTTCCAACTTCTGCCAACCTAGCAGTTTGAAAGCACACCAGTGCAAGTAGATAAATAGGCACCCCTGTGGCAGGAAGGTAAACAGCGTTTCCATGCACTCTGGTTTCCGTCACAGTATCTTGTTTAGTCTTGCTGGCCACTTGACCTGGAAAGCTGTCTGTGGACAAACACCGGCTCCCTCAGCCTGACAGTGAGATGAGCGCTGCAACCCCATAGTCGCCTTTGACTGGACTTAACCGTCCAGGGGTCCTTTACCTTTACTTAGAGCAGGCTCATTGAAATTAACGGTTACAGCCAAGTTAGGTTCATTGATTTCAGTGGGTCTTCTCTGAGGGAAACTCAGCTGAGTGCCACCCAATGAGTCTGGATTCGGCCATCACACAAAGCCAAGCTTAATTGTGGCTTCTCGGTTTGTTTCTCTTGCAGAGTGAAACAGGAGCGATTGGGTAGTGTACTGCTCATTCGCAATGAACAATGCCAGTTGAAATAAATAGTGGCATTGTTTGACCCCACTGGAACATATCTCCTCAATAGCTGACCTAGTCACCAACTGAGTTGCATTTATTTTTTTAGTCTGGTCAAACACTCATTCCTGTAAATCAGCCTTGGGGTCTCCCAAATGCACCAAGTTCGCTCAACCACAAATTTGGCATCTGGCCTTTCTTGCCTGCGATAATCACGTGTTTTGCTGCTGTCAGTGTGTCAGCGCCAGTCCACTTCTGGCCTGAATAGGGAAGCCAGGACAATGGCAGGATGCTGGTGACTCCTGAGCATGGAATGTGTGCTATTCACTAGCACAGAGAAAGTGCCTGACCCTCGGAAGCGGAGGGTTGCCCATTCATGTTGAGTCACCTTGCTGTCATACTCTGCTATCTGTGCGAGACCCGCATGTGGTTAACTGTTATCTACTTTTTTTGCAAACAAGGCATGAAGACTCAACTGTCGGTGTAATCATTGCAGAGCCCAGAGAGCATGGTGGGACTCGCAGCGCTTTGCTTGCTGCTCTCGGCGTCCCTCGGTGCCTCGGAGTTGGAAGAGCACTTCGATCCAGGTGAGTTGGATCCAGGTGAGATAGGCTGTGACCTGTTGGTTGAGGAACGGGAAACTGGAGGGTTCCTTGGTGAGGTGCTGAAATGTGGTGCAGAAGGAGCACGAGCTTACGGCATTTTATTGGGCAGAAGTGATGGAGATATGAAGGTCGGGCGAGAGGGCAAGGCCAAGTATAAGATGGAGACCCAAGCAAGGAAAAATGAACTCAGGGCAAGGTTTTTAGGGGGGTGTTGCCAAACTGCCATCCGGCAGGCCTTTCTTCTATGTTGGTTAATCCCCAACATAGTTTTGTCCGATGCTTCTATCTTGTTTCCGATGCACAAATGTGAGAGCCGTTGGTTGCTTGTGAAACCAAAATGGCGCCATCTTTGCACACAAGAGGGAGGCGAAAGCTCTGGAAGCAGCCTAGTAGGGAATGAGCACCCTCAGTGGCCATGGAATGTGTGTGTGTGGGGAGACGAAATGGAGTATCTCAGAGAAGGGCATTGCTGACTGAATGGAACAATGAATAGGAACACTCCACTGCAACATTTTGTTGCAGGTTCTACTCGTAAGGATACTATCTATCTATCATCTGTCTGTCTGTCTGTCTGTCTGTCTGTCTGTCATCTGTCTGTCTGTTTCCTGCAGATCAGGACTGGGGAACCTGTGGCCCTCCAGATGTTGTTGGACTCCAGTTCCTATCGGCCCGAGCCAGCCTGGCAAATGGACAGCAGTTGTAGTCCAATGACATCTGAAGAGCCAAAGGTTCCCCATCCTCTCTGCCCATGAAATAAGCTTCACCGTCACATCTTGCAGCAGTGGATTCTACATTGTGCAAGGAAGTCCTCCTTGCTGCTGTTGTCTGTTCTGAATTTCTTGTTTCATTCTGTGCCCTAAAATTCTAGCATCACCAGAGGGGATTTAAGAAATTAAAAAAGAACCTCTAGCTGTTTTCTCCACACCATTCATAGTATTGCCAACGTCTAACATATCATATTTAAATATTATTATTTTTTGGTAAACTAAACATCCCCAAGGGCTTTAGCCTAGGCACGTCCAACAGGTAGATCGTGATCTACTGGTAGATCACTGGATGTCTGTGATGGATCACTGGTAGATCACTGGCTCCCCACAAAGAAGCTAAACAACTTCCCCTTAAAAAAAAGTCCTGTACCCTCCAAAAGCGGGCTTTCCTCCTTCCTAAAAAAACCTCAACAGCTTTGAAAAAAAAAAGGGGGGGGTAGATCACTGCCAGTTTTTGATTCTGTAAGTAGATCGCCTTCTTCATGGCTGATCGCCGAAGAATTGATGCTTTTGAATTATGGTGCTGGAGAAGACTCTTGAGAGTCCCATGGACTGCAAGAAGATCAAACGCATCCATTCTTAAGGAAATCAGCCCTGAGTGCTCACTGGAAGGACAGATCCTGAAGCTGAGGCTCCAATACTTTGGCCACCTCATGAGAAGAGAAGACTCCCTGGAAAAGACCCTGATGTTGGGAAAGATGGAGGGCACAAGGAGAAGGGGGCGACAGAGGAAGAGATGGTTGGATAGTGTTTTCGAGGTTACCAGCATGAGTTTGACCAAACTGCGGGAGGCCGTGGAAGACAGGAGTGCCTGGCGGGCTCTGGTCCATGGGGTCACGAAGAGTCGGACACGACTAAACGACTAAACAACAACAACAAGTAGATCGCAGTCTTTTGGGAGCTGGCCACCCTGTGCTTCAGTCCAGCCGTATTATTTTGGTTAGCTTACCCTTTTCTGCCCCTTTCACCAAACCTGTGATTTCCCTTTTGAAATGGAGCGTCAGCACAGCATATAGGATTCCAAAATGGGACTACATCATACATAATATATGAAGGGCAGCATTATGATGCTGGCAGTTTTATCCTCTCTGTCTTCCCTAATCACCCCAGCGTGGAATTTGCCCTTTTGGCTATATTCCAGAGTATCACAAAGTGTTCCAGACAACGGAAACATTGAGCTGAAAGCTTGCAGAACATTAACAGAATGTTAAAACTTAGCGTGTCTCTAGAAATGTACATCCTTGGTTTTTTTTTAAAAGCGTCCACCTCTTGTGTGTGAAATTAGAGCACCCTCTGGTGGAAGTCGTCGACATCCAGTACTAAGTGTTCTGCTTTTTGTAGGTAGGACAGTAAAAATAGTAAAAAAGGTAAAGGACCCCTGGACGGTTAAATCCAGTCAAAGGGGACTATGGGTTGAAGCGCTCATTTCGCTTTCAGGCCAAGGAAGCCGGTGTTTGTCCACAGACAGCTTTCTGGTTCATGTGGCCAGCATGACTAACCACTTCTGGCGCAACGGGACACCAAGACAGAACCCAGAGTGCACAGAAATGCTGTTTACCTTCCTGCCGCAGCAGTACCTATTCATCTACTTGCACTGGCGTGCTTTCAAATTGCTAGGTTGGCAGGAGCTGGGACAGAGCAACGGGAGCTCACTCCTTTACAGGGATTCAAACCGCTGACCTTTCGATCGGCAAGCCCAAGAGCAGGGGCCTGCAAACTTTTTCAGCAGGGGACCAGTCCACTGTCCCTCAGACCTTGGGGGCTGGACTATATTTCGAAGGGAAAAAATGAATGAATTCCTATGCCCCACAAATAACCCAGATATGCATTTTAAATAAAAGCACATTCTACACTTGTAAAAACACCAGGCAGGCCCCACAAATAACCCAGAGATGCCTTTAAAATAAAAGGGCACATTCTACTCATGTAAAACACGCTGATTCCTGGACTATCCGCAGGCCGGATTTAGAAGGCGATTGGGCCGGATCCGGTCCCCGGTCCTTAGTTTGCCTATCCATGCTCAAGAGGCTCAGTGGTTTAGACCACAGTGCCACCCGTGTCCCAGGTAGGACAGTAGCCTTATGTTCGTCTGATTCTTGGATTTTTCAAAAAGGAATTGCACAGTGCAGGGTCTGCCCCACTAAAGGCTTGATCCCCAGTGAAGGCCAACTGAACCTCAGGAGGCTTGACACCTCAGAGGATCTCCATTACTGAGATGGAGCATACGGAAACAGGCAGTCTCTAAGCCACTTTGAGCCCAAGTTGTTTAGGGCTTTGTGGATTAACATAAGCACCTTGAAACAGGCCTGATCGCAAACAGACAGACAAAATGACTTTCGATAGACAGGGCAGTTTACTCAGATGTAAGTCTCACTTTTTCCCCGGCGGGGCATATTCCCATGATACACAGGACAAACTGAGAATATAGAGAACAGCTTAATTCAACACAGGACGGTGGTAGAATGTGGCTGCCATGTTTTTATGGTGGCGGCCATCTTTTCCCGCCCCCCCCCCATTTTCAAAATGGAGTCCCAAGGCCTGTGTTCTTCAGTGTCTTTGGGCATCAGTATCTACCCAAGCCTGCCTTTTGGTGGTGTCAGGCCTGGTTATACATGTTAAGAAGGGAATATGATTGTGCATCCTGTAGAGAAAGTGGATAGGAAGAGGTTTTCCTTTCTCTTGTCTCATAATACTAGCGCTTGGGGCTATACAATGAAGCTGAATATTGGAAGTTCTAGGACAGAGAAAAGGAAGTGTTTCTTCACACAGAACAGGGTTAAGCTATGGAATTCTCTCCCACAATTAGCAGTGATGGGCACCAGCTTGGAGCTCTGCTGCGTTCGTGCTGATCATTCACTTCATAGTCAGCTTGTTGCCCACTTGGGGGGGGGGGATGGATTCTGGTATAGATGGGTCTCTTTGTCCTGATGTGGCAGAGTTTCTCTTATGTTCTCAAGTCTCATTAAAAGCATCCCATCCTAGGTTAACTTGCAACCCATTGGTTTCAATGTGACATATAATTGATGTTATGCGGATCAGGCTAGTATTAATAGCTCATCATTTTTGCAGAGGGGTGTGTATAATGCAAAGGGGTTATCCTTGCTCTTCATTCTCTCGCTTCCTTCCCCCTTTGCAGCTAAGTGTCGCTATGCATTGGGCATGCAGGATCGCACCATCCCGGATGAGGCCCTCTCAGCCTCCAGCTCGTGGTCTGACTCGACGGCCGCCAAACACAGCAGGTGACGATGGCCTTTGAAATGTAAAGTTGTAACTTGTTTTTCCCCCTTGCAGTTGTAAAATACATCGCAGTTGTACACAGTTGTACCCTCATAGACCTGACTAAGGTCTTTTGACCAGGTCAGCTGGAAAGGACTGTTCATGCTGTTCAATAAGATAGGATGCCCGCCCCAAACTCCATGATGATGATGATGATGATGATGATGATGATAATGATAATGATAATAATAATAATAATAATAATAATAATAATAATAATAATAATAATAATTAATTTATTTGTACCCCGCCCATCTGGCTGAGTTTCCCCAGCCACTCTGGGTGGCTTCCAACAAAGATTAAAAATACATTAAAATGTCACACATTAAAAACTTCCCTGAAGTTCTAAATGTCAGGTAGTTGTTTATCTCTTTGACATCTGATGGGAGGGCGTTCCACAGGGCGGGTGCCACCACCGAGAAGACCCTCTGCCTGGTTCCCTGTAGCTTTGCTTCTTGCAGTGAGTGAACCGCCAGATGGCCCTCAGTGCTGGACCTCAGTGTCCGGGCAGAACGATGGGGGTGGAGACGCTCCTTCAGGTGTACTGGACTGAGGCCGTTTAGGCCTCCCACATGTCTTCCACATGAACAAGTGCAGCACCGTCCAGTACGACTGTCGTTCTTGGACTCCTTCCCTATAAAGAGCAGTGTGAAATACGGCCGTGTTCTTACCCCAACTCTCTTTGGCGTAGTCTTCCTGCTGCCCTCTTATTCCTTCAGTTCAACGTTGTGAACATCCATCCAAGGAGGGATGGGGGAGGGTCTGCTCAACCTGGCATGTGAGAAAAATAGCATGCAAGAGGTGCTAGGTAAAGATAAAGGGACCCCTGACCATTAGGTCCAGTCACGGACGACTCTGGGGTTGCGGCGCTCATCTCGCTTTATTGGCAGAGGGAGCCGGCGTACAGCTTCTGGGTCATGTGGCCAGCATGACTAAGCCACTTCTGGTGAACCAGAGCAGCGCATGGAAACGCCGTTTACCTTCCCGCTGGAGTGGTACCTATTTATCTACTTGCAGTTTGACATGCTTTTGAATTGCTAGGTTGGCAGGAGCAGGGACCGAGCAACAGGAGCTCACCCCGTCACGAGGATTCGAACTGCCGACCTTCTGATCGGCAAGTCCTAGGCTCTGTGGTTGAACCCACAGCGCCACCCGCGTCCCTTGCAAGAGGTGCTAGGGAGACTTAAATGTGATCTGTGAAATCTGCCCCTTCCCAAATACAGGTTCGTTAACATATCCCCCTTTCTGTCTTCTCCCTTTTCCTGCTCTCCAGGTTGGCGCTGAGCGAGGGAGATGGAGCCTGGTGCCCTGCAGGACCCGTCTACCCTAACGATGCGGAGTACTTGGAGATAGACCTGCGGCGGCTGCACTTCTTAACCTTGGTGGGCACGCAGGGTCGCCATGCGAGCGGTCACGGCAAAGAGTTTGCCCGCTCCTACCGGCTACACTACAGCCGGGACGGGCACCGCTGGATGCCTTGGCGGGACCGGTGGGGCAACGAGGTAAGCGAGGGGCGGAGCTGAAGTCAGCGCAGGTGAAGGCAGCCAATGGGAGGCGGGGAGGTGGGGCTAGCGGAAGGCGTGGCATTCACCGCTCGTGTGATCAAATGTTAGGCTAAGTTGCAATGTCATCGCTTAAAGAAATATTAGTGGACGGCTACAAAATGTGGAATCGCATATATGGGGTAAATTTGTATGATGGCGTAAATTTGGTGAATTTCAGAGGCCTTATTATGGCAGAGGGTTTATTATTCATTAGGGATGCGGGTGGCGCTGTGGGTTAAACCACAGAGCCTAGAACTTGATGATCAGAAGGTCGGCGGTTCGAATCCCCGTGATGGGGTGAGCTCCCATTTCTCGGTCCCAGCTCCTGCCAACCTAGCAGTTCGAAAGCACCTCAAAGTGCAAGTAGATAAATAGGTACCGCTCCGGCGGGAAGGTAAATGGCGTTTCCGTGCGCTGCTCTGGTTCGCCAGAAGCAGCGTAGTCATGCTGGCCACATGACCCGGAAGCTGTACGCCGGCTCCCTCGGCCAATAAAGCGAGATGAGCGCCGCAACCCCAGAGTCGGTCACGACTGGACCTAATGGTCAGGGGTCCCTTTACCTTTACCTATTCTGTATTTTTAAAAAAAATCTTTAGCAGGTAAAGATTTCATTTTTCAATGATCAAAATTAGATGGATTTTCATAAAATAATCTTAATTGCCAGGCAACCTTACTGTTGTTTTAGGGCAGAGTTTGAAACGTTTAGAGATGCACTTAAAGTAGTTGCCAATGGGAGGGAGGTTCCAGGTGTTTGATGGGAATGGAGCAGGTTGTGTCAAAGGTTTTTATCTGGGCTTGCTTTCAAGGCTTACAGAGCCCATTGGAAATCTGTAGCAAAGTCTTTTTCTTACTCAGGTGGAAAACCTGTTTCTGTTCTGCCCTGCTTCAGACTACAGGTGGAGTGTGCCTTTTCTCAGCAGATGGCATAGGTGTTGGAAAAATGTCCAGGGGGTGGGCTGTAAGCTCCCAAAACTCTGAGCATCCTTCGGTATGCGCACCTCTGGAAAAGGCACCTCCCTTCTCTTCCAGTGCGCTTTCTAGTGACATATACCAGCTGGTATTTGCACACTAATCTTCTGGCATAACACAGCAAGAAGAGTGAGACATCGTAGAGCTAATTTACTATTTAGTTACACACTATGTACAGATGAAAACATAATTCTCTCCAGCTCCAAGAGAACAAAAATAAATAAATAAAATAACAATAATAATAATAATAACAACAATAATAATAATAACAAATAAAAGTGAAAGTACAGTGTAATAGTACCCACAGTGGAAGAGATAAGACACTCTTCCTTTCCCAGGAGGAGTGAAATTGCTAATATCAGGTGTTGTGTAGCTGCTTACTTCACCCCCATCAGTTGCATCGCTGGAAGTCGAGGGGGTGAGGTGAGACAGTGGTGCACAGTCGTCACTGTGCAAACCACCTGCAGAGCTAAATCTGGCCCTCCTGCTGGTGTGTTTGCACTGCACCAACCTCACCTCTGCCTTGCCCCTACTTCTCTGCCTCCTGGTAAGGAGAAGCGATGCAACTGACTGGAGGTCAGTTGAGCAGCAACATCTCACCTACGCTGTCCGCTACTGAGAAAGGTGTATTTCATCATGGGAACCCCCACTCCACCTGCATTTCGGAGGGGGGCAGGACCAGAAACCAGTTTTGCAGCCAGCCTCTCCGCAAAAGGGGAATCCTGCCCATGGGAAAACAGCATGTCAGGGAGAAGGCTGGGTTGGAACCCTTCTTGATGACCTGTAGTTTTCTGTTTGGATGGAGTTTTTCGCTCTCTGAAGTGGGAGAGCCCAGAAACAGGTTTACATCTCTTTGAGGACTGGCTCTATGTCTAATAAATAGAGAGGACCTTTCCTAGCATGGCAGGCCGATCTCTTTGCTTATGCGCTACTTCCCAGGTATAATCCTGACATTGCACCATACACTGCCTAAACCAGAGATGGCTAGCGTGACTCCCTCCAGTTGTTTCTGGACTGTATAGCTTTTGTCATCCCTGATGGATTGGGCTGATGGAAGTCTGAGTTCAGCAGCACCCCGAGGGCCACAGGTTGCCCATCCCTGACTTTAAAAATTCCACCAATGTCTTTAAAGGTAAAGGGACCCCTGAGTGTTAAGTCCAGTCGTGGCCGACTCTGGGGTTGTGGCGCTCATCTCGCTTTACTGGCCGAGGGAGCCAGCGTTTGTCCACAGACAGCTTCCGGGTCATGTAGCCAGCAGGACTAAGCCACTTCTGGCGAACCAGAGCAGCGCACGAAACGCCGTTTACCTTCCCGCCGGAGTGGTACCTATTTATCTACTTGCACTTTGATGTCCTTTCGAACTGCTAGGTTGGCAGAAGCAGGGACCGAGCAACAGGAGCTCACCCCGTCATGGGGATTCAAACTGCCGACCTTCTGATCAGCAAGTCCTAGGCTCTGTGGTTTAACCCACAGCGCCACCCGCGTCCACAGCGCCACCCGCGTCCACCAATGTCTTTATTCAAATGCCAAAGCTCAGAATTGCCATTACCTGTGCACGTTCCCGAGCAATGACAGAAAACTAACTTCCTGCCCCTTAGGTGATTTCGGGTAATGAAAATACAGAAGAAGTGGTGCTGAAGGACCTGGGCCCCCCGGTTATTGCCCGTTACGTCCGCTTCTACCCACGTGCGGACCGAGTCATGAGTGTCTGCCTGCGCGTGGAGCTCTATGGCTGCGTCTGGAAAGGTGAGCCGCCTGATTATTATTTTTTTGTCCTTGACGCAACAACACGGTCCAGCTCTTTTCCTGCACTCACATGCATATGCAGAGCCGGTGCGAGGTGGTGGTTACAGCAACCTTTCCCAACCTTTAGTTCCCTAGATGTTTTTGGACTACAACTCCCATCACCCCAACCCTTTGACCAGGCTTGATGGGAGTTGTAGTTCAAGGAAAATACCTGGACGGCATCAGGTTTGATGGTATTAGGTTAGATAGACCAACCGTCTGACTCAACAGAAGGCTCTTTCGTATGTTCTTATTTTCCTCACCCCCTCTTTGTACACATGCTCTTGTGGTTTGCTCCACATACCCAGAAGCCTTTGCTGCACATGAAGTTTGATCCTCCTGAGGATCAGGAGCTTGAGGTCTTCTTCTGAATGTGTTTGTTTCCTTCCACCAGATGGTCTTCAGTCGTACACGGCTCCTCTCGGCCAGGTCATGCCTCTAGTTCCAGAACCAGTCTACCTGAATGACTCCACTTACGATGGGCACAGCGTCAGCAAGTGAGTGAGTGAACATCCCTGCCCCCCTGTTGTTGAATTCTGTGCTTGGGTGGCCCTAAAAGCACGGCAATCCCAGCCTGAAACTTCAGCTTCAAAGGGTGGGTTCAGATGACTAGGTTAGTCACATGACAGCTGCAGACATCACATGATGCGTCTGGTTATCTGAAGATTTCATCACCTGTCAGTTCACTGGGTTATGTTAGACCGACCAGCCTTCCCTCAGCCTGGTGGTCTTCAGATGTTTTTGACTACAACTCCCATCAGCCCTTACTAGTGTGGCCAATGGCCAGGGATTATGGAGTTGCAGTTCAAAATGTGTTCAGACGTTTTGTTCATCTGAGAAAACAGGAAGGGAACTTCTGTTTGGTCAGCTTGTGAATGGGGCTGCAAGCCGATTGTGTGACTTCACCCAAAGAGAGTTTCTCATTGTGTAATAGTTGTGGAGTTCAAACAGCCGGAAGCTCAGGGTGTCATCTTGGGCAAATCACGTTCTCAGACTGGGTTGCCTTTTTTATAAAATGGAGGTGAGATAGGACTATGACAGTATTTGTGCTGGAAAAAAATGCAGATATGAGCAACAAGAACAGTAACAGAAGGAGGGCCCAGCATTAGGTGGGCGACCCATAAAAAGTAAAGGTAAAGGGACCCCTGACCAATAGGTCCAGTTGTGGCCGACTCTGGGGTTGCGGCACTCAACTCGCTTTATTGGCCAAGGGAGCCGGCGTACAGCTTCCGGGTCATGTGGCCAGCATGACTAAGCCGCTTCTGGCGAACCAGAGCTACGCACGGAAACGCCGTTTACCTTCCCGCCGGAGCGGTACCTATTGATCTACTTGCACTTTGACGTGCTTTCGAACTGCTAGGTTGGCAGGAGCAAGGACTGAGCATCGGGAGCTCACCCCGTCATGGGGATTTGAACCGCCGACCTTCTGATCGGCAAGTCCTAGGCTCTGTGGTTTAACCCACAGCGCCACCCGCATCCCTGGGTGACCCATAGTGATAGATAACTGCATGAGAAAAAGGAAAGAAGAGAAGATTGGGGCTGAGCGAGAGAAGAAAACTAAATAACGGTGTCTAAAAATTATTAGCTACATATTGGCCACCTGCCTTATTACACCTTCTACCACACCAGCCACATTCTGAAAATATTGAGGAACCTTCTAAACACTATAGCTGTGCTGCGGCAGCCAAGTTTTCTGTCTCCTTGATCCTGTTGTGTAGCTGTAGCATCGAAAGACCCATAGCCAGGATGAAGGCACAACTGTGTGAGTCTTTCCCATGGCATGGGGCCTTTTCTCTCCTGCACAGGCAGCCTCACCTGTCTGGTTCTGGAGGAGCTTGAGTCTCACAGAGAAAGCAGGTGGCAAGTCAAAAACACATCAGAGGAGAGCGAGAGCATAGATAAGGACCTTGGGCAACTCCAGGTAACCATACTGGCTGAAGCATCTTCCTCTTGGTATCTGCCTTAGGATTATACATTGGCCAGCAGGGTCCCCCTTGGAGCTGTCCAAGGTACCGTTCTCATCCGCTTTCTCCTTTGTGACTTGCCTTCCTGTGAGCCTGCCACAGAAGATGTTGTCTCAGCAGGGAGCTAGAGCCAACCAAAGCCCCCTGTAGGCTGCCAAGACCTGGAGCGCATTCAGCTCTGGAGGAACCGACTGGGCGGTTAAAGAGCCTTTGCTTATTTTGCAGTCTTTGACGTCTGCAAGGCTGGGAAGCTGGAGACACTCAGGGGATCAGAGGATGGTGTGGAAGGGCTGCTGTGTGTTCCAGCCAGCCAGATGGGCTCCAGATAATTAAGCACTGACAGCTCCTTCCCTGCACCCAGAAAACAGGCTGAATCTTGTTAGTATATCCACCTGCTAGATCCCTGTGTTGCTGATCATGGCATTGGCCATACGGTTGCAGGTCTTTCAATTCTATGTCAATATCGTAGAACGAACACATAGAAATGCACTCTCCTTCACGCTAGTGCGACGTTTAAGGGGCGCCTTGGTTCGACCCAAGTGCCCAGTGTTTTCTTTTTTTCCTTAGTGACTCCCTTGCAACTCTGTTCTATTCCATTCTAACCACAGCTTGCATTTTGGGGGCCTTGGCCAGCTGACCGATGGGGTGATTGGCCTGGACGATTTCACCCACAACAAAGAGCTGCGCGTCTGGCCAGGGTACGACTACGTAGGCTGGAGGAACAGCTCTTTCCCCAAGGGCTTCGTCGAGATGGAGTTTGAGTTTGACCAGCTCAGAGCCTTCACTTACATGAAGGTAAGCGAGTGTCACGGTTGGAGTCAGGTGCGGGTCAGCAACAAAAACAACAAGTCACCTGAGACCGGTGCAGTTAATCCTTGATTCGAGGAAGCAAAACTCAGCTCAGGCCTAGTGGTCTCAGCAACTCTTTCCAGGAGGTCTTGCCCCAATGAAGCAGTTGCCAGGACTGAAGGAGAGGGGAGCTGGTTGTAGTAGTAGCGGGAGACACCCTATATTCTTCAGCAGCCCGTCTCCACTGCCTCTTGGCTACTCTCCCCTCCAGCCTCTGCTTCAGTCTCAGAGTCAGAGTCTGAACTGCTCTCTGCCGCAGCCTCTTCCTGTTCACTAAACCCCGTCGCCTCTCCTGCTGCTGACATCTCCCCCTTCTAGTCTGCTCCCTCTTCTCCCTCTAACCACCCATCGTCATCCCACCAGCCTCCTTCTGTAGTTTTCAGATAGACGCGCTGGCCTTTAACCCTTGGGAACTGTGTAATCGGAACCCACCTTCCTCCTGTGACAAATAAGGAAAACCTGTGACATGAACAGCTTTTTAAGCCCTGTTCCTTCCCTACAGGCACAGGTGCTGAGTTGCGCCTAACATGTGTGTGTGTGTGGGGGGGCTGAAGTCCTGTGATGTGCAATGTGTGTGTGTGTGACATCACACGTGTCATCATGGGCATTGCACGCTGCTTGCGTGATGACTTTCACATCGGGAGAGGCTGACCAGGCCTCCTTCTGATGCGGCATTCACACGCTGGTCTGCACGGCGTCTTCCCACACTTTGTGACCTGGGACAGCTTCCTGCCAGGCCTCCTCTGTCCCCTCAAGATTGCAGGGGCTGGGCTCAATCCTAACAAACATGGGTGTATGTGTGTATGGCTGTAGAGGCCTCAGTCCCATAGTGTTCGTCCACCTGCTCACAGGGTTAGGGGAGGGTTGTGGAAGGCCTCTGAGACTCATGGCCCTGTGAGATCTCATGGGAGCCTCCCAGAGGCCTCGCATGACCCAGATCCCTGTAAACAAGGCAAAAGGCTTAGAAGTGGTTTTCTGTGCAGGGAAAACCCTATGGGACACCCCACAAAATCTCTCGAGAGGCTCCAAAGCCTGAAAAGTTAAGGGTCTCCCTTTCTATTTACAGTGGTACCTAAGGTTAAGTACTTAATTCGTTCTGGAGGTCCGTACTTAACTTGAAACTATTCTTAACCTGAAGCACCACTTTAGCTAATGGGGCCTCCAACTGCCGCTGTGCTGCCGGAGCACGGTTTCTGTTCTCATCCTGAAGCAAAGTTCTTAACCTGAAGCACTATTTCTGGGTTAGCGGAGTCTGTAACCTGAAGGGTATGTAACCTGAAGCGTATGTAACCCGAGGTACCATTGTATTTATTCACGGTCTGTGTAAGCTTGTGATTGCGTGAGTAAAATGAGCGTTTGGTTGTGATTGACCTATAGACGATGATGGGGATGGCAGGGGAATAAGCTTGCTTCAAAATGGCCTCTCCTTTTGTCACCGCGCCTCTAACCCTCTTCTTTTCCTCCCGCTGCCCCAATCCAACCTCCCTGCCCAACCCCAGGTCCACTGCAACAACATGCACACGCATGGGGTGAGCGTCTTCCGGCAGGTGGACTGCCTCTTCAAGCGCAGCCTGGCCACGGCCTGGGAGCCCACGCCTGTCTCGCAACAACTCGCTGTAGACGTGAGGGATCCCAGCGCCCGGTCCCTCACAGTGGACCTGGGAGGGCGGCTCGGCAAGTTCGTCCAGTGCCACTTCCACTTTGCCGGCGAGTGGATGCTTTTCAGCGAAGTTGGCTTTCTCTCTGGTGAGTTGGGGTTGGTTGGCTGGGTGCAGAGCCATTCAGGTGGAGAGCAGAAGATTGCTATGCTACAATTGTTGCTACAGTTATTTGTCGTAACCACTCCTTTCGTCACTTGGTTATCCTTCGCATTTCCTTTTCCTTCCAGATGTTGTGGATGACCCCTCCTTCTCGGCCTCAAGCCGCCGCCCTCCTGTGATCGCTCTGCCTCACCCCTCGGGCCACGACACTCCCATCTCACCGGCTCTGGGTTCTGCGCAGAGCGAAAAAGCCAACATTGGCTCAAACCTCACGCTCCAAGGTGAGTAGCCCTCAAACCAGAGAGCAAAGCTACCTAAGGAATAATTTCACCCACCCTGAGCCCAAAATTCCACCTGTTTCAAAATGGCGGCACTTGGAGGCCATGAATGGACTTTATCATTATTTTTCTCTGTTTCTTTTTAAGATCTGGAAAGTCAAGGGGAACCAAAATCAGGGCAGCCCATTGCAAAGGACGACAACAGCAACACCTCCATCCTGATTGGGTGCCTGGTGGCCATCATCCTTCTCCTATTGGTTGTCATCTTCCTCATCCTCTGGCGGCAATATTGGCAGAAGATCTTGGGGAAGGTAAGCTGGGCTGCATCACGGGAAGGATGATGCAATGGGTGGCCATGGTTTCGATGGCCCCAAATTAAGGTGGTCTTACCGATTCGGAGTGGGCAACTTAAAAATCTGCATCCGCTTAAGTGCATTTAAGACTTTGTCAACTCAGCCCAACTTCTGCTGGCTAAGACACACCTGATTGCATTGATTGGAAATAGAATCTTACTTTTAGACATACTGCTATAAAGGTTGTTTTTAAAGCATGTGGAATTAAGGATCGCTCCCCTGTTGAGGAGCCCACCTGCTGCGACTCTGCATGACTCACTGATCAGGGTAGGGCCTCTCACAGTGGGAAAAGGTGGCTTTGGATGCAGTAGGGCACCTCCAGTTAAAAGGATATCAGCTAGAATTTTCTCTGACCGAGACCCTGGAGAGCCTCTTATCCTCTCAACAACCCTGCGGAGTAGGTTGGGCTGAGTGATAGTGCCTGCCCCAAAACCAGCCCGTTAGCTTCATGGCCATGGGGCTTTGTATGCCGGAGCCTTGTCCGGAATGACACTGGCTTTCTTAGGTTTGCTGGGATTCTGGGGTGCACTTGTAGGGCACCCTTAAAAGGCTACAAGGGGCACTAGGCCTCTTGGGCCGAGCTAACAGCCTATCTGAATGGGAAACAGCTTCAGAATGGGCCCAGCAACTCCCCTACAACATGCAGAGGAAGATTGGTTATGGAGGGCAAATGAACATTGGCCATGGAGGGCACTGAGAACTGGCCACAGAGAGCCAATGAACATGATTGTCATTACAGTGGTACCTCTGGTTAAGAACTTAATTCATTCTGGAGGTCTGAAACTGTTCTTAACCTGAGGTACCACCTAAGCTAATGGGGCCTCCCGCTGCCGCCGCGCGATTTCTGTTCTCATCCTGAGGCAAAGTTCTTCACCTGAGGTACTATTTCTGGGTTAGCGGAGTCTGTACCCTGAAGCATATGTAACCTGAGGTACCACTGTATTTATTGAATGTATGACTGGAGGGGGGGATGTCTTTTGGGGCAGCTTGTATGCCATCACCAATCTCCTCATAACGTAACCTCTGATAAATTTCTGAGGGACCCAGCTTGGGATCCACCCCTAGGTAGGCCGAGAGAGAGCCAATAGTTCTGGAATGATCTGAAGTAGGGGGCGGCAGGAGAATCTGTGGGGTTAAAGTCCCAGGGTAGGGTCCGAAGACACAGAAAGTCAGCACCTTGCGGAAGCTCAACAAGTTTGGGTTGGGTCAGTGCCTGGTGAGCGGCCACCTGGACAACACCATGACAGGAAGGCAAGGTATAAAAAAGGGATGCAAGACTCCCTCAGTTTCTCAAAGGAGAAGTAGAATTGGGCGAATTAATGCCTTGAGGATCTAAGCAAGGTGAGGCTCGCACTTCTGTCATGGCCTCTCGAGCAACTGACGCTTCCATGCCCCTTAGGCGCAACGCCGCATCTCAGACGACGACCTCACCGTCCACCTCTCGGCACCAAGCGACACCATCGTCATCAACAACACGATGGGCTCCCACCGGCACTCGAACCGCTACGAGCGCATCCACTCGGGGGAGACGGAGTACCAGGAGCCCAACAGGGCCCGCATGAAACTGCCAGATCTGCCCCACAGCGTCGAGAACTCCGGTGAGGGGCCGGTTGTGGGATTTTGGGGAGGGCGGAACTGAACTAAAACAGGGGCGACGTGGTGGTTTTGCAGAGGAGAAGGCCGAAGCTGCTGAGGGAATGGTTGAACCGTTGGGAGAGGCTTTTGTAGGGGTGGCGTTAGACGGGAACGTCTGAGGGTCAGAGCAACCCAGATACCTCATGGACACCTAGGTAAGTGGTAAAAGCTAGGGAGCACATAGAAAACCTAAGTTCCTCCACAGGATCTTCGTACCACTGGCCTATCTAGACCAGCATGGTCTACCCTGACCGGAAGTGGTTGCCTGGGGTTTCCGGTAATGTTTTTCTCTCAGTCCCCACTGGAGGGATTGAGCAGAAGCCACCTTCTGCATGCAGCGCAGGTGTCCTGCTACTGAGCTGTGGCCTTTTGCCCAGATCATAGGGCGATTCTTCCCTGCCTCTTTTCGCTTGTTCAAGTGAACATTCTTGTTCTTGGGATGTTGAATTCTCAGCCCAGCACCAAATTCCACACTTCTGAGGTATGTTTGCGGAAAGCTCAGAGCGGACTCGGCTGTTGGGAGGTGTGGAAGACTGCTGCTCGTCTCGCTTCGTGCTGAAAGGGACCACGGTTGCTTAGGAAGAATCTTGAGCTTCCGTCAAAGCACCAAAGTCTCATTAGGGAGGGGAAGGGCTGCAACTGAAGGGCAGAGTGCGTGCCCCACAGTTTAAGACAGGGGTCAGCAAACTTTTTCAGCAGGGGGCTGGTCCACTGTCCCTCAGACCTTGTGGGGGGCTGGACTATATTTTTTTGGGGGGAAATGAACAAATTCCTATGCCCCACAAATAACCCAGAGATGCATTTTAAATAAAAGGACACATTCTACTCATGTAAAAACACACTGATTCCCGGACCGTCCGCGGGCTGGATTTAGAAGGCGATTGGGCCAGATCCAGCCCCCAGGCCTTAGTTTGCCTACCCATGGTTTAGGGAAGTTCTTCAGCGTCTCCAGATAGGGCGGTGAGAGACCCCCTGTTTGAAACCCCAGGGGGTTGCTGCCCATCAGCTTAGACAATACTGAGTCATATATAACTGGTGTAAATCTGGCTCCTATGAACACCTTGGGAAAACACGCAAACCAGGTGAAAGATTTCATATTGACGAATATGAAAATATGAAGTTGTTGGCTCCGATCCTTTCAACTCGTTGGGGGTCCTAACCAACTGCAGACGACGGTAAAAACAACGACAGAAACTAAAATTCACCCCCTCAATTTCCACCTCTTCTCTCAGTAAAGAGGTTGATTATTCTGTGATGTTCCAGCCCTGCCTACCCACTTCTTCCTGTTGTTCAAAGAGTGTTGTTAAAACAGCATATATATAGAGAGAGAGAGAGAGAGAAATGAAGGTGGATTTGAACTGACCTAGCACAGTTCAAAAGTTCGAAAGCACGTCAAACGTGCAAGTAGATAAATAGGTACCGCTCCGGCGGGAAGGTAAACGGCGTTTCCGTGCACTGCTCTGGTTTGCCAGAAGCGGCTTAGTCATGCTGGCCACATGACCCGGAAGCTGTACGCCGGCTCCCTCGGCCAATAAAGTGAGATGAGTGCCGCAACCCCAGAGTCGGACATGACTGGACCTAATGGTCAGGGGTCCCTTTACCTTTACCTTTAGCACAGTGAAACTACTTATTTAACACTGTAGAATACTCAATAAAAGGGCCTGAAAAAAATTAATAGTGTTTTTTACCTGGCACCAAGAAGGTGTTAAATTCAAAATCAGGGGTGTCACCACCAAAAAGGCGCTCTCTCTCTCTGGTAGTCTGATGGGTGGTGGGCCCCCAGGGAAGGGCCTTCAAGGCATCTCTTAATGTACACATGAGCTGACCTGGGGAAAGCAAGTCCTCACAGTACTTGAGACCCAAACGGTTTTTTTTGTTTTTAACAATCTAGGAGGGTTGTAATGTATTTCTGTTTTTCCGAGTTATCATTTTAGGTGCTCGCATATTGATTTATTGAATTTATATCTTACCCAGGATTGCAACCAGATACACAATTTGAAAATGGAAACGTTCTAAAATAGTCCTAAAACAATTACAGTTAAAAACATAGAAAAGCAGTTACTGTTAAAAACCTTTTGAAACCACTTGCAGGCTTTTAAAATATATATATATATATATATATATATATATTAAAAAAATAAAATTATTCCACCCAGGGATTTCAGGGCTTTTTAGCAACAGTAATCTTCAGCCAACAAGTGCTTGGGGAAACAGGAATGTTTTCAAATTCCTCCTGAAAGTTAATAAAGACGGAGACACTTTATGATACTGTGAGGAGATATTTATGTTGGGAACAAGCCAAAACTATCACTTTGTGGTTAAAAGGAAAGGGGGTCGTTAATATTTTATTTTTATTTCCCATTAGAGTAACAAACCAGAGACAAAATGCCTTTAATAAACGACGACAAGGCAGGCCTTTTAAACGTGGATTAAAATTCACCACATCGTTAAAGGAGAGCTTTACTGACTAGTTTCCCAACTGAAGTGTGCTGCTTTATTGTGAAATATAGGCAGCACTGCCAGCCACTATAATTCTGTAATGTATTTAGGCACCTCTTTTACTGGTGGAACACACTGCTGATCCAAGGGTCTCTTGGAGTTCACTTCAGCAATTCCGGCGAGCGATGGCTCAGATTGTACAGCCCCTGTGAGTACCGTATTTTTTGCTCTATAAGACTCACTTTTCCCCTCCTAAAAAGTAAGGGGAAATGTGTATGCATCTTATGAAGCGAATACAGGCTGCGCAGCTATCCCAGAAGCCAGAACAGCAAGAGGGATCACTGCTTTCACTGCGCAGCGATCCCTCTTGCTGTTCTGGCTTCTGAGATTCAGAATATTTTTTTTCCCCTTGTTTTCCTCCTCCAAAAACTAGGTGCGTCTTGTGGTCTGGTGCGTCTTATAGAGCGAAAAATACGGTAACATCTCATAATAATAGAACAGCTCTCTAATTGTGTGGGGTTTCTTGGGATGTCTAGAAGGCCGGACAGAGGGAGAAAGGGGTCTGGGTGTCCAAGGCTTGTGGGAAGGAGATGTAACAACAAAGTAGATGAGCCCAACGTCACCACAAACTTTTAGGGGTTTTCTTGGGGGTGGTTTGCTTGCATGTGTCAATACAATATGCTGTATATTGCTGGGCTTTTGCTGTGAACTGATAGCTAGCTGTGAATGTCTGGGTGACATTCAAGGAAGGAAAGAAGGAAGCAGAGTGTTTTTAAAAGGAGCCAAGAATCAATGGGCCAATCTCTATGTCCAGCAAAAACCATCACAAGGGCTTTCTTGGACTATACCAATTCATATAGCAGAACGGTGGGCTAGCTTTTATAACGCTTGATTGCATAAAAGGAGCCCCTTGCAAGTAGAGAACTAGCTCACTAAGAAGAAGGCTATGTTTCTCTCCTTGTGTGCTTGTTGTCTACATGCAAGGAAGAACCTTTTGCAGGAATGAGCGTTTGATAACGTGACACTGCCTGTGGTTATGAGTGGTGCAGTCTATAATAATATAATAATTTATTATTTATGCCCCGCCCATCTGGCTGGCTTTGCCCCGCCACTCTGGGCAGCTTCCAACAAAATATTAAAATACAGTAATGCATCAAACATTAAAAGCTTTCCTAAACAGGGCTGCCTTCAGATGTCTTCTAAAGGTCTGGTAGTTGTTGTTCTCTTTGACATCTAGGAAGTCTAGTTCTAGGAAGGACTACGTCATTTTGACGGGCATTTAGCTTTGCTCAGTGCTTTTCCGTTATCCTGAGAGAGGAAAAAACGGAGAGGAGAACTGGGAAAGGAGAACTGGGAAAGGAAGCAAAAGGAACATCTAAAAAATGAAAAATATGAAGAGGGAGGGAGAATGAGGATCCTGCATGTTCTCTGCTCATTTGAAGAGTTTGGATTTGATATCCCGCTTTATCACTACCCGAAGGAGTCTCAAAGCGGCTAACATTCTCCTTTCCTTTCCCCCCCCACAACAAACACTCTGTGAGGTGAGTGAGGCTGAGAGACTTCAAAGAAGTATGACTAGCCCAAGGTCACCTAGCAGCTGCATGTGGAGGAGTGGGGAAGCGAACCCAGTTCACCAGATTATGAGTCCACCGCTCTTAACCACTACACCACACGTTGCAACTGTGGCTGCCGCTTCCCACCATTACCGCATTTTGTTCTGTGCCCCCATCCTGTAGTTACTGTGTGTTCAACACATACACACTCCACCCTGCAGAGAACCCCACATTTCTGCCAACTACCCAGAGATTAGTTACAGTTGTAGCCCGAGGCCTAGTTTACAGAAACAAGTTGGTGAAGCTCTTCTTGGATTACACCACTTCAGATTGCCAGAGGGAAGGATCACTTGGCGAAAGTGCTCTCCCGGAGCGTGACATGAAACCCCTGATGGATGGTTAGTCCAGAAAACACCTCCTTGACATTTGGTTTCTTCCACCTCTCATATCAGACAGGGGATATTTCCCAGCCCAACCAGGAGATGACAGGAATAGAATAATAATAATAATAATAATAATAATAATAATACTAATAATACTAATAATACTAATAATAATAATAATAATAATAATTTATACCTCGCCCTCCCTGGCTAGAGCCGGGCTCACCAATAAAATCTAACAATAAAATCTAACAATAAAAACATAATGGGGGGAAAGAGGGGGGGGAGGGAAAAAACCAATTTAAAATAGAGGTTAAAATGCAATTTAAAATGCAGCCTCATTTTAAAGTAGCTGATAAATCAAGACCATAAGGGGAGGGAAACATAAGGGTCAGACCGAGTCCAAACCAAAGGCCAGGCGGAACATCTCTGTCTTGCAGGCCCTGTGGAAAGATGTCAGGTGCCGCAGGGCCCTGGTCTCATGAGGCAGAGCATTCCACCAAGTCAGGGCCAGTACTGAAAAGGCCCTGGCCCTGGTTGAAACCAATCTTAGCTCCTTGAGGCTCGGGATCTCCAAAGTGTTGTTATTTGTGGACCTTAAGGTCCTCCACGGGGCATACCAGGAGAGGCGGTCCCGTAGGTACATGGGTCCTAGACTGCATAGGTCTTTAGAGGCTTTACTGGCTTCCTTGCAAGGACTTAAGTGAGTTAGTGCAGGAGGGCTGGACAAGACTCCTTCCTTCTCTCCGAAGCGCTAACGATGGCGTGTCGCCATTATTATATTACACGTCATTTGGTGTCTGTGTCTCTGGCTGTTGTGTTTGGGACGAGAGCGCCCCGGCAAGGGACAGGGATCCCTAAAGCGCTGCCTCTTCTCTGTGTCACGCCTTCCCTTCCGTGTGCGTCCTTCCATCCGTCTGTCCGTTCCTCATCCGTCCCGTTTGTTTTCTCCGCCCGCCCTCCCTGTTCTCCCGACAGCTCTGCTGCTCAGCAACCCGGCTTACCACCTCTTCCTGGCCACTTATGCCCAGCCAATGGGAAGGCCTGCTTTCCCGCCACCCAACCGGGTTAAGCCAATCAACACCAATGGTAAGGTGCCAAGCTCGTGTGGCGCGACGGGGGAAAATCCTGGGTGGCCACATTCCAAGCTGAGAGAACCTTCTGCCTACTGCCATTTCTCCCCCTCTCCTGCCAGGGGGCGCTGTCTGTCTCCATCTCTCTTCCCACCCCCCCTCCCCTCACACCATATGTCTGTCCCCAGTTCATTTCCCTCTTGTCTATCCTGTGCATGGCTAACCTCTCTCTCTCTCTCTGGCTCAGACAACGTTGCAACTTTCCGCTTTGCAGGTTCTGCGACGCAGCAGTTCGGGTGGCTGGAGGGGGCGAGGATTTGCGCAGGGTCCCTTCTGCCCAGAGCTGAGATCCAACTGGCTCTTGCGTTTGACACGGCTGCTGGGTCCCTGCAAAAAGCAGCCATCCTCAGCGCGGGGCAAATAATCTCAACCGCGTTAGCTGGGGGAAGTGGACTCGCTCCATGTTTCCTTACCCCTGTCTTTCCTTCCCACAGCCTGTGGCGCTGACTACATGGAACCGGAAACCGCGGGAAGCCAGCCAGGCTTCCAGAACAACGTTCCGCATTACGCTGAAGCCGACATCATCAACCTGCAAGGGGTGACGGGCGGGAACACCTACGCGGTCCCGGCTATTGCGGTGGACGCCCTCGCCGGCAAGGACATGGCGCTGGGCGAATTCCCCCGGGAGAGGCTCGTCTTCAAGGAGAAGCTGGGCGAGGGGCAGTTTGGAGAGGTGAGTCCATCTGTAGGTGTAGAAGGATTCTTTTTAAGGTGATGAAGGCTGCTGTGGATGATTGCTTTGGAGGGAAGGCAGGATGGACAGGAAACGAAACAGTAGAGCACAAGGGGAAGGGATGCAGGAAATGTACCTTTCACTGAGTTAGACCTCTGGTCCACCAACTCTGCATTGCCTCTGTCAGGGGCAGCCAAAGTGGTTCTCTCCACATCCTGTTGAATTTTCAGCTCCTGTCATCCCCATGTGAACTACAGGACCACCTCTCCCCATATTATTATTATTTATTGAATTTATTTAAGAGCGGTGGACTCGTAATCTGGTGAACTGGGTTCGCTTCCCTGCTCCTCCACATGCAGCTGCTGGGTGACCTTTTCTAGTCACACTTCTCTGAAGTCTCTCAGCTCCACTCACCTCACAGAGTGTTCGTTGTGGGGGAGGAAGGGAAAGGAGAATGTTAGCCGCTTTGAGACTCCTTCGGGTAGTGATAAAGCAGGATATCAAATCCAAACTCTTCTTCTTGAAGTGCATTTTCACATGAAGCGTGGGAATGTCACAACCGGCCCTGGTTGCTTTGTGATGGAGCGACCAAGTGATGGAGGAAAGGGAGGGGGGAAGGGCAGAAGACGCTGGTTTCTTATTCTCTTCCTTCCTCCCAGAGTCACCAGGTTTGTTTTTCCCCTTAAAAAGGTCCACTTGTGTGAAGTGGAAAACCCTCAGGACCTTCCGAGCCTGGAGTTCCCCTTCAATGTGCGCAAGGGGCGCCCTCTGCTGGTGGCCGTGAAGATTCTACGCTCTGATGCCACTAAGAATGCCAGGTAAGTGTACAAACCTCTCTGCCTGTGTGTGTGTGTGTGTGTGTGTGTGTGTGTGTGCGCAGTGGCGTAGCGTGGGGGTGCAGGGGGGGCCGGCCGCACCGGGCACAACATCTGGGGTTAGGGCAAATCCATAGGTTAGGGGGCGCAAATCCACGGGTTAGGGGGCGCAAATCCACGGGTTAGGGGGCGCAAATTACTTGCCTTGCCCCGGGTGCTGACAACCCACGCTACGCCACTGTGTGTGTGTATAGTTTGGTAGCCTGATCCTCCATAAAATTTGCCCAGGCCTCATCATCATCACCATCATTTTTAATTTGTATGCCGTCTAATACTCAAGGCGGTTTACAAGCTGAAGGAACAAAAAATGTACATCTTATAACAATCTAACACAATACAAAAATGTGATAATAAAACCATCCAAGTTGGTGGCCGCCAGCTGCCTCCTATGGGGGTGGGTTCCACACTTTAACTCAGGCATAGGCAAACTCGGCCCTCCAGATGTTTTAGGACTACAACTCCCATGATCCCTAGCTAAGAGGACCGGTGGTCGGGGATGATGGGAACTGTAGTCACAAAACATCTGGAGGGCCAAGTTTGCCTATGCCTGATTTAACTGAATGCCAGGTCCTCTTCTGGAAGAGATTTATCTAACCTCACATTCAAAACATCTGCTAATGCGATCTCTGCAATCCTGGGTCCTATCACTTGAGTATTCCCCTCTATTCTCTATATCTTTATTCTCCTGCTTCCAGTTTTGTTCTGACCTGCCTTTGAGCAGGGGCTGATGTGATTTAAGGGATGTGATTGTCTGTGGCTGGGCTGCAGGCCCTGAGTTAGGCAGGGACCTAACAGCTAGAGTCAGCCCTGTGACCACCATTATCTCACCTCCTCTGCTTGAAACCAGCCTGGGAGATGCTATGAGTGGGGCACCTTGTCACAAGTGCTGAGGCAGGACTTCCCAAATGTTTCTGGGCAATACGGATTTTGTCAGTTGCCTAATTTGTACCAGTTTGCAGAATTCGGGCTTCATGATTGCCACATGTGGGCTCAATCAGAGCCAGGGCTTTTTCGGCCGAGGCCCCGATCTGGTGGAACGCTCTGTCACAAGAGACTAGGGCCCTGCGGGACTGGACATCTTTCTGCAGGGCTTGCAAGACAGAGCTGTTCCACCAGGCCTTTGGCCAAGGCACAGAACTCTAGCCCAATGGTTGCCATTAATTTGATTTTAAATTGGTTTTATAATGAATTGATTTTAGAATGCTGTGTTACTTTTATTGTTGTTAGCCGCTCTGAGCCCATCTTCAGCTGGGGAGGGCGGGATATAAATTTTACTTCACTTCACTTCACAGTGGTACCTCTGGATACATACGCTTCAGGTTGCATACGCTAACCCAGAAATAGTGCTTCAGATTAAGAACTTTGCTTCAGGATGAGAACAGAAATTGTGCTCCGGCAGCATGGCAGCAGCAGGAGGCCCCATTAGCTAAAGTGGTGCTTCAGGTTAAGAACAGTTTCAGATTAAGTACGGACCTCCGGAACGAATTAAGTACTTAACCCGAGGTACCACTGTATTTTATTTTATTTTATTTTAGTCAGGTTTTGCCAACCACCCTCCTTTTTTTTTGCACCTTCATCTTTCGATCTGCAGAACCCTTTTATTTCTTTATCCCTTACAACTCCTTCTTCTTGCCTGTCAAGGAACGATTTCCTGAAGGAGGTGAAGATCATGTCTCGCCTGAAGGACCTCAACATCGTCCGGCTCCTGGGCGTTTGCGTGAGAGACGACCCCCTGTGCATGATCACAGAGTACATGGAGAACGGAGACCTCAACCAGTTCCTCAGCGGACATGAGATGGAAGACAAGCTGGGCGGGAGCCCCAGCGGGAAGCCGACAATCGGGTACTGACTCTAAGCTGGGGTAGCTCAGTCAGTAGAGCATGAGATCTCAAGGTCGTGGGTTCAAGCCCCACGTGGGGCAAAAAGATTCCTGCATTGCCGGGGGTTGGACTAGATGACCCTCGTGGTCCCTTCCAACTTGTGATTCCATGGCAGCAGAATCCAACCCGTTTTGCCTTGGAAGTCCTGCCCTGATGGCATCGGTCGTCAGTTGTGCATTTCAGGTGCAGCAGTTATTTTTCGGACGTTTCCGAGGCAAGAGGTTAACAGAGACTACCCTTTCAGAATTTTTTCCCAGCACTTGCTTCTGCATTTAAGAGGGCTGTTACTGTTTTTAAGTGGTAGAAAAGTATTGTGTTTGGCAGGCCGGTGCCTAAACAGTGTAGCTTGAGGATTCATGAACAAGGCTTTGTAGTTGAGCATTTTAAAAGCAGCTACCTGAGTCTTTAATTTCAAAGGCAGAATTTCAATTTCGAAGTCTCTGTACACGTTTCAAAATATGTGTGGCATCTTTTTCTCCCTGGCCAAGACCTACCAAAGTAAAAAGTCCTGGGCCAGCCAGCAAAGAGTGAGCTTTGATGTTCCTCTGGATCATAGCTGTCAACTTTTCCCTTTTCTTGCAAGGAATCCTATTGGAATAAGGGAATTTCCCATAAAAAAGGGAAACGTTGACAGCTATGCTCTGGATTCATAATTCACTAAAATCTTGAGGGAGAATTCCGTCCCATTCAATTGCATCCCAACTTGATTGGTTGCTTTCCCTGGAGGCCAGCACTTTACAGAGCTACCCCAGTGTCTGATGGGAATATCACTTGCATCTCTTCGGTCTCAGGGGAGTGTTCCTGACGTGCCTTTTTTTCTCTCTCTCTGCTACTTAGCTATCCTACCCTGGTCCACGTGGGGGCCCAGATTGCCTCAGGAATGGCCTTCCTTGCCTCCCTCAACTTCGTGCACCGGGACCTGGCGACGCGGAACTGCCTGGTGGGCGAAGGTTTCACCATCAAGATCGCTGACTTTGGCATGAGCCGGAACCTCTACGCTGGGGACTATTACCGCATCCAGGGCCGGGCAGTGCTGCCGATCCGCTGGATGGCTTGGGAGTGCATCCTCATGGTGAGAGCACCAAATAATAATAATAATAATAATAATAATAATTTACTATTTGTACCCCGCCCATCTGGCTGGGTCTCCCCAGCCACTCTGGGTGGCTTCCAACAGAGATTAAAAATACATTAAAATAAAATATATTTTTTATAAAGCGGGGGTAGGAAGCCTGTGGCCTGCTGGATGTTGCTGGGCTACAACTCCCCCAGCGAGATCCGGAGAGAGCCAAAGGTTTTCCCCATGCCTGCTTTGAGGGTCGTCTCATACACTTTGCTTCCTTTCATCTCGTTTGCCTCGCCTCTGTTAGTTGCCGTTTCCCTGTTCAAAATGGCGTCGCTTTTGGTGGCTGGCGAAAACAACCGAGAGTTTGATATGTTAAAGACGGATGGTCTTGCCTGCACTGTGCATTTTAAAGCAATACCACACCGCTTTTTAAAAAGGCACGGCTTCCCTCAAAGTACCCTGGGAACTGCCATTCGTTAAGGGTGCTGAGAGCTGTGGTGGGGCTCCTATTTCCCTCAGATAACTTCAATTCTCAGAGTGGTGGTCAGGAGTGAGCCGGTAGTAAACTACACTGTGCAAGTTGGAGTTAAAACTTAATTCTGTTGGAAGCCTGACTCCTTTTCCCCTCACTCCTCCCACCCTCCTGCTCCAACTTCTGCCTCTGTGATTCTGCCACTGGATCTCCCAGCTCACTATTTATTTATTTTTTAATATAATTTTTATCAAGTTTTCTAATTTACATTTCAAAATACCCATTTAAACAACCTTAAATCAGTGACTGCCCTTCTTCTCTTTCCGTGGTTCATTTTGCTTACCATACATCCCTGCATATTTTATATGAACTAAACTGTTCAGTTATCCATCGTTACATCCGTCAAAACTTATTTACACTGTTGAATTTATCTTGATGCTGCCAGTGTTTTTAAATGAACTCAGTTTTCACCATAGCTGTCAACTTCCTCCCTTTTTTAAGGGAACTTCCCTTATTCTGAATAGCATTCCTCGCAAGAAAAGGGAAAAGTTGACAGCTATGATTTTCACCCATATATCCAGTGAATATTTTCCAGTCTTCTTTAAACGTACATTCTTCTTGTTCTCTTATTCTGTATGTTAAATCTGCAAGCTGCACATATTCCATCAGTTCAATTTTACTTACTTACTTACTTACTTACTTACTTACTTACTTACTTACTTACACTCTGCCCTTCTGGCTGGCGGCTCCCAGCCAAATATTAAAAGCACAATAAAGCATTAAATGCAGCATTAAGTTGCCATTCTTCTTTGGTTGGGACCTCGCTCGTTTTCCATTGGGTTAACAAAACACAGGCCGCAGTAGTAGCGTACATTAATAGTCTTTTTTGACACCTGGGAATTTCCCTCTGAATTATGCCCAACGAAAAGGACTCTGAGTCCTCCCAGCTCACTATTCCCTGTTCCCTCTTCAACTTCCGCCACTTCCTCCTCCCAGTCTCCTCCCTCTGGCCACTCATCGTCGTCCCACCCCCAATCCCCGGGCTCTGAGTCTTCTTTCCTTGGGGGTTCCCCGGCTGGTTCCTGCCACCATTCCTCTGCAGTCCAACATGACAGTGGTTTAACAGCCAGTGCCTCTTCCCAGGGAGCTCTGGGAACTGTAGCTCTGCAAGGGGAACAACCCCTCAGCACCTTTAACAAACTACAGTTGGCAGGATCATTTGCAGGGAGCCATTACTATTTAAAAGTGGTGTGACACTGCTTTGACTGTGAAGATGGGACCTAGGTCTTCCAAGTGCTTGAGGTAAAGGGACCCCTGACAGTTAAGTCCAGTCGCGGACGACTCTGGGGTTGCGGTGCTCATCTCTATAGGCCGAGGGAGCCGCCGTTTATCCGCAGACAGCTTCCGGGTCATGTGGCCAACATGACTAAGCTGCTTCTGGCGAACCAGAGAAGTGCACGGAAACGCCGTTTACATTCCCGCTGGAGTGGTACCTATTCATCTACCAGGAATTTGACTCAATTAGGTCCAGTCATGGCCGACTCTGGGCTTGCGGCGCTCATCTCGCTTTATTGGCCGAGGGAGCCGGCGTACAGCTTCCGGGTCATGTGGCCAGCATGACTAAGCCGCTTCTGGCGAACCAGAGCAGTGCACCAAAAAGCCGTTTACCTTCCCGCCGGAGCAGTACCTATTTATCTACTTGCACTTTGACTTGCTTTTGAACTGCTAGGTGGGCAGGAGCTGGGACCGAGCAACGGGAGCTCACCCCGTCGCAGGGATTCGAACCGCTAACCTTCGGATCGGCAAGCCCAAGGCTCAGTGGTTTACACCACAGTGCCCAGTGCTTGAGGACGAAGGCAGAAAGTGAGGGATGAACAAGGTGGGGAGTGCCAGGACCACCAAGGAGTAAATATGGCCTCTGTTAGTCACCTTCCTGCTCTGTTTCCCTCAGGGCAAGTTCACCACAGCCAGCGACGTCTGGGCGTTTGGCGTCACACTTTGGGAGGTGCTTATGCTGTGCCAGGAACAGCCCTACAGCCAGCTGACCGATGAAGCCGTCATCGAGAACGCCGGCGAGTTCTTCCGGCACCAGGGCAAACAGGTAACAACAACTGGGGAGCCTGGCCGGAGGCAATGACTTCTCCAGGAAGCTGTGCTGCTGGGGTGGGTGGGAGGCAGATCAGGAGCTATGAGAAGATTTCTGGGTGATCTGCAAAAGGATCTGGGTTCCTCAACATGGCACCTATGAGCACAATAGCACTCTCAGACACACAACCCTTGGCACCTGCCCCTCCATTATTATTATATTTTTAACTTGATGGGTGTTTTCATTGTTTGATCGGGAGGTTACATGAGCACTTTTGGGGTCTCTGTTTTCTTTTGTGTTACCTTTTTTTTTTGAGAGCGTGCATTCTGAGCATCGCCAGTTTTCTTTCAGTAAAACGCGTTATTTCCTTTCACTGCAGCGGTTTATTAGATTTCCAAATGAGCCCCTGGGCTCCAAAAGGGTTTGGGGGTTTCTCCTGCAGTGGATCACGAAGGATTTCTGACTCCCTGTTGTTTAGCCATAGCAACAACAACGACACCAGCGAAAGCTTTCTGAACTTCCTTCTGCATGAGGCGGCTGAGATTAGAGAGCGCTTGGGGGTAGAACCACGAATGTTCTTTTTGTGTGTGACAGGATGTGGGGATTTCTTCATGCTAGCCACATGCACAGCCCAGGTCCTGCTATTTACATGTTCCTGAGTATGTGCGTAGAAGCTCCTGTCCCTTGATGCTGTAAACCTCCCCCCCCCCGAGCTCCTCTCAATCCACTGAGGCCCTCCCCCAAATTGGACTCTTCCCATGGGCCCAATTTCTTGCCCCCAACCTGCCCCTCCAGTTCTCTGAAGCTCCTCCCATTCCTCCTGGTCCCATGACTTGCCTTCTAACCCTCCCTTTCGCCCTCCCTCCCCAGGTCTATCTCTCTCGTCCTCCTGCCTGCCCGCTGGCTGTCTACGAGATGATGCTGAGGTGCTGGGCGCGAGAGGCTAAGGACCGCCCCTCTTTCCAACATCTGCACCGCTTCCTGGCTGAAGATGCCCTCAATATGGTGTGAACCGGATTGGTGCCAGCCAGCGGAGATTATGTTTAAGGACTCGGGTTGCACCACAGATACTGCTGAGGGAGGAGGCAGGATGTAGCTCCAGAGGGCCTCAGGCTCTGGGGTGCCTGCGGGGGGCATCTTGTCTTCCCATCCTTGACTCAGCCTTGGTTGGTCCACCCATTGCTTTCTATCCACTCCTCAACATGACATTCTCTCTCTCTCTCTCCCCCTACCCCAATTGCTCCATCACTCTCTTCTGCTAATCTTTAACCGTCTCTCAAACACCTCATGATTCAGCACTGCCATACATTTCCAACACATTTCCCCTTCTCTGTTTTCTGGCCTACCTATTCCACATACATACCCAATTCTCTTCCCGTCCTGATCCCTCTTCCTGTCTAATGCAATTCTACTTTGGTTCAATCAATCTGCCTGAATCTGAACAAACTTCTCCAGTACCCACATGTTGACTGTGTTTCGACTGAATTCCTTTCATCCACAGACCTTTTTTGTTATTCCCCTGTATATCCAGGTTCTCAAAGTGTGAGTTGAGCCTCCCACTAAGGCAGCAGGGGTTGTTGTTGTTGTTGTTGGGGTCTGCTAGAAGGCCCTCCCTAACCTCATTTTATCAACGTTGCACCAGGTTACAAGTCTTCTGATTGGCCAATGCTCATCCACTCGCTTCCATCTGGGCAGTTCCATGCTGGGCGCAGTGTCCCTGCAGCTACGATAGATGGCTAAGTGTATAAACTTGGAAGACCTGGATTCAGATCTTATCGCTAGGTGGCCTTAATTAACCCTGTTCCCTTGGCTATGGTCCCTTAGCTGTAGTATCGAGTGTGGGTGTGTAATGACACCAGCCTACTTTACAGGGTTCCTGTAACCATTATTGAGATAAAGCGATGTAGGACACTTCTGAACACCCCCCAAAACTAAGAATGAATTCCATGCTGAACTTCATTCTGTTGGGCCAATGTGACAGTGCTGTGATTAAGAAGGATTTTCGGTGGAGCCGCACCTCTTCCCCCAAGGACCATGAAACACCAGGATCCTGCTGTCCAAGGTCTCAGAGCGAGGTTTAGGAGTCTCAGGCAGGTGTAACCTTCGGCACCTGACCAGCTAGGATATGGGCAACTTTACAGACCTCCAGCTGTGGATCCTCATTGACTCTCTCTGTCTCTGTGTGTAGGTGACTGCCCCTCAATACAGCCCATCATGCCAGATGGATTAGGAAGAGATGTGCCTACGTTTTAATACGTTCTCGTGTGTGTGTGTGTGATTTCAGGAGGGGCTGGAGAAGCCATGTCCAAATCCCGTTTTTGATGCAGAAGCTTGGTGGATGCTCCCATCCTCAGACATTTGCACATAGCAGTAGGCAAACAACCGCATGCAAGGGTCTCTTAGAATCGTGGAATTTGAGTCTTTTCTGCTGCAATACGGGGATCTCTTGCGCAACTTGGGGCTCAAACCCACAACCCTGAAATTTAGAGTCTCATTCTCTTCTGACTGTGCATATTCCAGCTGCCTTGGGAGCAAATGTTAGTGTTGGTTATGGGGAGCCTGGAGGGGGAAACAAAAAGTTTCCCCCATCGCCACAACCTTGCTTTATGGAGGCTCAGTATTTTACCCTTTGAGAACTTGCTCTCTGTTCTCTTTCCTGCCCATCCATACTCTTTCCCAGAGAGTGTGACTCTCTTACCTGCCATCCCTTCCTGAGAAAGTTGGGGGTGGGTGACTCCACAATTGGGGGGCTACATTTCTGCCTTTGAGTTTCATTCACAACTGGACTGACACTGGCTGAACCAATAAGGACCCTTTGTTCTGAGCACACTGGGATTAACTGAGCACTGGATGTTTGGAGAGGCTGGAAGAAATGATTTCGAGGGTACTTTGCTAATCCATTGTAGCTGGGAGAACCCAGTACTAGCTGCTCTGTAGGGGTAAGTGGGGTGGGAGCGGGGGGGGGGTACCTCTTGGCAGGAGACCAGGCTGGCAAGATCTGGTGAGGCTTTGGGCTGGGTACAATCATGGCCCAACCTCAAAAAGGGAATTGACCCTTGGTTTCCAAAAGGGCTGGTTTTCTGTTCTCCCTTAGCCACGTGCCACAGATCCAAGCCATGCCCGGCTCTCCTCTCTCCTGAATTTGTTTCCCCTTCCTTTCCTGGAGACTTGAGGTGACGTGATTGTAGATACTGTACTGCACGAAGCAGTGGCGCAGGGACGCACTTTTCCAAAGCAAGCAGAGGTGCTGGGGGAATCGATCCATCCCCCCCCCTCTCTCTACGATTCCATTGTGGAGACTCCCCCGAGAACGTAGCCTGAAACTCAACACCAGGTCATGCTCAACGGCAGTGGGATCTATCCGCATAGAAGCCTGTACTTCGATTTGTGCTAGATCAGGGGGTATCTCTACACAGGAAGTTCCTCTTAACAGGTAACCCATGCAATAAGCTTTGCCGGTGCCAATGCCCCGTTTAGTGGGAAGGAGAGGGAAATAATGTTTTTTCTTCCTCCCAGTGTTGTTGGGGTTCCCAATTAAAGTTAAAAGTAGCATTTTCCATCGACTAAGAGCGGATCCGTTTCATCAAGCGTCTTTCAAAATTTAAAGCTTTTTGAGTAGATAGTTAAAGAGAGCATTTAGAAGTTAGGGGGTGGCAGATTATCAAAGCAGTAACCAAGAGAATACAAAGATGGAAATTAACTCTACCAAGCACCGTCCTTCAGAATCAATGCCGGGGCAGTGCAAGCCAACGTCTGTTCACTCAACGTTCCACTTAGTTCACTGGGGCAAACGCCCAGGTCCATTTGCAGGGGGTTTGCAGCATAAGCCCCATCCCATTGTTTTCAATGGGATATACACCACAATCCTAAGATGTTCAATCAGGAAGGAAGTCCCAGTAAGTTGAAGAGGGTTTTCTTTCAAGTGAGCGCACACAGGATTGCAGCCTTAGTCATGACTTGCTTCTGCTTAACGAGGACAAACTAATTTTTTTAATTACATATTTTCAATGGTGTGAAACGACTCATCATAACTAGATGTATATTTCTATTTCAAGAAATTTCAGGGGCACGTTATGCCCGCCGTTACTTTTCTGATTTGTTGCCTCTACGCAATCTTGTCGAATGCCTTTTTTGTGTGTGCGTTTCCCTGGGGAATACTTGTAGCTGTTTGCGTCTTGTTTGTACTGTGCATCAGGATGTGTATATATTTGAAAAGCAGGAGAAAAAGACAGAATTTTTACACTAATATATAGATGTTTGGGGGTGGTTTTTTTTTTTTTTAGTCCTTTCCATTTATGTGGTGAATAAAGCGCTTTGCATTTTGTACAGTCCTTTCGTCAGAGTTTGTCTTTGAATCAGGGTGGGGCCGTGGGAGGGGAACGTGGTGGGAAGAGTGGCGCAAGCGTGGCCTATCATGAGGCAGTACTTTGGCCACTGTGCCCTCTCACTTATGATGGGCCATCGCTCAGAACATCCACCTTGCGTGGTTCAATCCTTAGCAGTTCCAGAGAAAGCTGGAAAGGGCCACTATCTGAACCTCTGGACAGCTGCTAGTCAGAGTCAAGGAAGGCAACTTCCTAGTGCCATCTCAAAGGCACCATTATTATGTCCAGTGCCACAGCAGCAAGGCAGGGGTGAAGGACGAAATGATGAATGAATTGAAATGCAGTATTTGGTAGACCAACCACGTCAACATCTCACTTATTACCCATTACTTTACCACGTGGGTAGATCTATGTAGGAAAAGATACCTAGTTAACTCTCACAGGAGACAGGTGAAGGTTAGGCCCTCCTTTCCTTTTATTTAGAACCCAAAACGTCCCGTCCTCATTATTTTAAGCTTCAATGGTGCATGTTCTTGATTGAAGATGGTCCTCTTAGAAGATGAATGAACAGTTTCTCCAAATCGGCCTTATTGGGCTTGGGAAGCTGCTATTTCTTAATCTGGAGAAAGCTCTCTCTGGATTCCAAATACAACTGAAGCCTTGGCACATTCCCCGTGGCACCAGGAACCCAATGGGATATGAATCCCTCTCCCTTGTAATCATGACCCTGCCCCCCAATCTTTTTAAATGGCCAATGGTTTCTGGTGCTGGTTTGCTGGAGAAGGGAGCAGCTACACCTCCTCCAACCAGGACTCCTTTGAGACATTGCTACAGCAGTGTTCCATGTGGCATGGATGCTAAGAAACATGCTCTGGAAATACCATGTTTTCTGGCCTCCCTAGTGCCTTCCATGCCACTAAGGCTGTATTTCAAGTGCCAAGCATGGGGAGAAGGGGGAGAATAAAAAGACACATTCTACTCATGTAAAAACACACTGATTCCTGGACTGTCTGTGGGCCGGTTTGAGAATTGGGCTGGATCCGGCCCCTGGGACTTAGTTTGCCTACCCATGCATGCAAAAAGTTTGCTGACCCCTGCTCCAGATGGTCATTGTTTTGTGGTGGGGATACCAAGAACTTGGCCCAATTAAAGGGTATTTAAGAGCTCTTTTGCCCCTAGCACAACAGATCCATTTTATAAAGATTTTTTTTTATTTTTTGTTGTTAAGAGAGATGGGAGGGGAGGCATTGAAAAGCGTGGAATGATTAGATTACTGGGAAGACGGAACTTCCGGTCAGCGCCAGCGCTGAATGGCGGATTTTCCTCGGAGCTCCAGAGGGGGATCTGCTTTGTAGGTTCGGGTCCCGCAGCTACGGCGGAGCGGGGACCCTAAAAAATCACAGACGCGAAGCCTGTGAACCGGAGACTCGGTGGGCACCATTGCGCCCCCCCAACGCTGTGAAGGAGCCTTTTTAAAGGCTACGGAACAGCGGGGGGAGTGTGGCGCGGTGCTGAGAGTCGCTTCTACCCAGCCTGCGAAGTGAAGCCGCGTCGCCATTGGCGGAGAGCGCTGATTTCTTCCGTGAAAATTGGATCACAAGAGACAACTTTCCGTGAGTAGGCTTAAAGCCTAAGGCTTAATTGGACCTTAAATTTGAAGAAATTTGGCACCGAGACGGATAAGCATTAAAAAGGAAGTCTGCTTTCCGTTCTGTAGCAAGATCAAAGTAAAGGACTTCTAAGCTGTAACTACGGATCGGTGAGGTGGTGGGAGACAAATAATCCACCATCAAAGAGAAGGGAACTCCCCCCAATAAAGACTATAATAGCTTTGTGCAGCAAAGAAGCATAAATCAACAGTCCCGAACTATATATTTCCATGCTCTTTTATGAACATGCTGAACTGGTAGTCTGAACCATTCGCTATCAGCTTCATGAGGAGAGTCAGGATTTTTATTTTATTTTTTAAAGAAGGAAAGCATTTATTTAAGAGGTGGGGGCGAATACATTTCAACACAGAAGACAAGAGCCATTAACATCCATTTGAATTTAGCTATATAATTTCAGGCATGGAGTTGCAACTCAAGGCACCTTTGTGCTGGTTACTAGAAGTCTAAATTGGGGAACAGTTCTGCACAGCTAAACCTTTCCCATCAAGTGTATTGCAAGTGAGTTCTAGAGCTTGTAACTCCTGTTATAAGAATTTTTAGGTCTTAGATATATAATAAATCTTCATAAATGTACCAAGCAAACGCGTACAGAAATATACAAACCACATGTCTGAAGCAGCACAGGAAGACAGTCCTGAAACCATTTTGACTCCCAAGCTGACCAAATGTTTCTCTGCAAGGAGGGAGGAGGTAAAAAAACCTTCCTTGTTGCAGGAATTTAGTAATCACCATTTCGAAGGGTGACAGACTACCAGGAAAGGCAATCAGATAAGGCATTATCAGATAACCTGGCAGACAGGAAAAACAACAACATTCAAATTTCTGTTGTAGACTGCCTTTTCTGTGATGTATGTATGATGTTTGTGGGGGGTGGTCTTGGGTTACACCCCTTCTGTGATGTATGTGTGATGAATGGAGGGGTGGTCTTGAGCTCCAGGCAAGGGAATTTAAAATGTCTATATAAGGGCAGGCACACCTTTGTTCTGGGTCCTCCTCCTTTCCTGCGTGAGAGGGGAGCACCCTGTTGCAACAGATCAATAAAGATCAGGCTTACTAGCTGCTTTGCTTCTCAATATTCTCTGGTTGGCCTCTGTTATTGTCTCCTACCAACAGGGAACCCACGTAAGGACTCTATATGGGCTCTTGGATACCCCATAAAGGAAAAAGGGCAGATTTTGTTTACAACACTCCCAATACAAGAATATAGTATTTTGTGGGGGGAAGTATGTTAACTCTACTGTATAATCTGCCTTACGTACTCAGGCTGATAATCACCACTTCAAAAAAAGGAAAATGGAAGAAAACACAGCATTCCCAATGAGCCAGACCCTCTACCAACTCAAGTTTGTCACGTACAAACCGCCTTTTCACAAACCTAGGGTGCTACAGGGGTTTTTTTGGACTTCACACTGAGTCTACAATCCAAAACATGAATCTGGCCTGTGATGAGGGATGGTTGAAGGAGCTGGGTATATTTAGCCAGGAAAAGAGGAGACTGAGAGGAGATATATAGCCATCTTCAAATATCTCAAGGGCTGTCACCTGGAAGAGGGAGCAAGCTTGTTTTCTCCTGCTCTGGAAAGGTCAGACTTGAACCATTGGCTTCAGATTACAAGAAAGTAGATGGCGACTAAATATCAAAAAGAACTTTCTGACAGTTAAGAGCTGTTTGGCAGAGGAACAGACTTCCTCTGGAGGTTGTGGACTCCCTTTACTTGGAGGTTTCTAAGCAGAGGTTGGATGGCCCTCTGTCATGGATGCTTTAGCTGAGATTCCTGCATTGCAGGGGGCTGGGCTAGATGCCCTTTGGGTCCCTTCAAACTCTTCAATTATATGAATCTATGTCTTTTCTCAGGCCACACTCCTGCCTTGCGTCACGTCTATTCTGGTTTTGTCAGCTTTGAATGCCTCCTTGAACTGCAATAACACATCTTGCTTGCCTGATGGGAGGATGGAGAGATGGAATGCGGGTGCAGGGGGGGGGAAACCTGAGTTTTGTGTGGCTGGAATGTAGCCTGCTGGAGAGAGAGAGAGAGAGAGAGAGAGAGAGAGAGAGAGAGGAGTTGTATCCATTGCTCTTTCCACTTTTCTGCCTCTGGCCCCCAGAGGGCTGCACCCATGAGACGCTGCTGCCCCTGAGCTGAAAAAGATTCCTATTTTTAGGAGAAGCATTTCTTTCCACGAATAGAGAGGAGTAGGGAAAAATGCATCTTCTGGACAGGAACGAAGCGCCAGCCTTTTGTTGTTGCCAAGTACTCGAAACACACATAATTGCATTAAAAACAAAACGAATGAAAACTACTGCTCAATTAATCAGAGGCACATTCTAAAGTCCAAAGGTTTCTACATCGTTTCACCTACGTTGACCAGCTAAACATATGTGGCTTGGACACACCAGAGTACGCCACTGGACCAGAGTGAAGGCCTCGCTCGAGTCCCGTGTCCTCCTTCCCATAGCGGTTGTTGCAAGAGCGCTCTCCTGCACATGAACTCCAGTATGGACCGAGGTTGAGAGATAAGTGCAACGAATGAAACCACATGCCCAAACAAGGTCACTTCTCTTAATACGTCCTTCTTTCGGCGTCCAACAACAGCCACCTCTGATGGAAACAGCTATTTGTTCTGGGGGCCCTTGGCTGAACCCCGGCCCCTACCACGCCCTCGCCCTCCGTGATGCTTATTCTGAGATCCCTTGTTTCCCGAGGCTTCGCCCCCTTTGTTGGGGGTTGGGGGCCTCTTTGCAGATCCTTGCCCTTGCCCCGACCCTGCCTGACTGGAGGCACGAGCCTCGTTCTTGACAGATCCACCTCCGCTTTGATCTGCACTGGATTGGGTCTTCTGCTTATTGGACCAACCTCCTCTTCCTATTCGCCCCGAACCATGAGCCTCCCTTGGTTTGGGGGGCTCTGTCGCTGAGGACCCCCCACCTGCTTTTTCTGGCTTGCACTGCCCTCCCTGCCCTGGGACTTGAGCTTCTCTGGGCTTGGGCGGCTCATTCCTAGGGGGCATCCAGCGATGCTGAGGCAAAGCTTTGCCTTCGCTGGATTGGGATGTCTGTGTGTTCGGATAATATCCTCTGCCTTGGCCCCTTCGGGGGCCAAAAGGATGGCTACGTGGCCCTCGCCTGCCTTGAAATGTGCCGCGGCCCAGCCTGGGATGGGACATCCACCCATGTCCAGGCCCAAACTGCCCTCCGAAAGGAAAGGGCGGAAAGGAACCCAAAAAGGGCATCTGTTGGAAGCCACGAAAGTATGAGCTGCGTGGTGGTTGACTCGGAGCTTCAGCTACGATGGGAGCCTCAGTGGAACCAGTGCTTCGCCAAGGTGCTTCTTTGGGTAAGAAATCGCTGTCTTCCAGCTGGGGCATGTCTTTCTCTGGAGTTGGAGAGTGGCAAGGTGAGTCTGGGACAAAGGTCTCCCTGATACTGATGCTTCTCAGCATCTCCTTCCAGGAATCAAAATCCAGCAACTCTTCCAGTTCTTCAAGAGCTGGGTCGACAGGCACAATGGCCCACTCCTCATCTTCTCCTTCTGCACCCTGGGCTTCGGCTCCTTCGTAAGTTTCTTCTTCATCAGTGACATCTCCACCGGCCTTGCCTTCGCCCAGATTTTCACCAGCATCTTCATCTTGGTTGCCTTCCTCCTTAATTTCCTCTTCCCCTTCTCCACCCTCGCAGGCTTCTTTGGCTGTTTCGTCAACCTGCTCTTTAAGTCGTTCCTGGACTCTGCAGAGAGAAGAGACCACAGTTCCATATATTTGCATGTAATAATAATAATAATTTATTATTTCTACCCCCCCCCATCTGGCTGGGTTTCCCCAGTCACTCTGGGCAGCTCCCAACAGAATATTAAAAACACAACAAAACATCAAACATTAAAAACTTCTAGGTGAGTGTTTGATAGCCCTTCAAGTCCTCACACATGGAGGCAATAGGATCAGAGCCAATGTCTATATACAGAGCAATGCTGATACTCACCTTCCTGTCAGTTCCTTGACTCCCTGGAGGGAAAAAGAAACAAACAAGGTTGGAACTGCCTGCCAAAGCAAGTTTGCACAGCTTCAGCCAACTAGACCATCAAACCCTCTTTACAGAACAGTCAACCCGAATTCATCAATCTGGTGGCAGGGAAGATTAGGGCACAATGAACTGTCAGAAGGTGCTAACCCTCGGTTAATAATGTCAAGTTAACTGCAAAGGGGTCACATCGAACCAAACATTTAGAGCACTCCTAAACCACTTTAACAGTCATGGCTTTCCCAAAAAAATCTTGGGAACTGTAGTTTAGTAAAGGTGCTGGGCTCTGTAACTCTGTGACGAATCACCTAACAACTATAGATGATAGAGATGATAGATAGATAGATAGATGATAGATAGATGATAGATAGATAGATAGATAGATAGATAGATAGATAGATGATAGATAGAATTAAATATTTATGAACCACACTTCCATAGAAAATTTAGCAGTTAAAACACAATATACCTATGTCAATAAAAAACTGGTTGCAGAAAATTTCTGGTTCCAAAGGGCCTTCTGAACGGTATCATTTTTAAACAACGTCTCTCAAAGAGAGCAGGGATGGATCCTGACGGACTTCTATAGGCAAGGAGTTCCACACAGAAGCTTCTGTCCTGGGTAAAGGCTGGCCAAATTTCAAGGGAGTGTTGTTGTAGTTTAGTCATTTAGTCGTGTCCAACTCTTCGTGACCCCATGGACCAGATCACGCCAGGCACTCCTGTCTTCCACTGCCTCCCGCAGTTTGGTCAAACTCATGCTGGTAGCTTCAAGAACACTGTCCAACCATCTCGTCCTCTGTCGTCCCCTTCTCCTTGTGCCCTCCATCTTTCCCAACATCAGGGTCTTTCCCAGGGAGTCTTCTTTTCTCATGAGGTGGCCAAAGTATTGGAGCCTCAGCTTCAGGATCTGTCCTTCCAGTGAGCACTCAGGGGTGATTTCCTTCAGAATGGAGAGGTTTGATCTTCTTGCAGTCCAAGGGACTCTCAAGAGTCTCCTCCAGCACCATAATTCAAAAGCATCAATTCTTCAGCAATCAGCCTTCTTTATTGTCCAGCTCTCACTTCCATACATCACTACAGGGAAAACCATAGCTTTAACTATACAGACCTTTGTTGGCAAGGTGATGTCTCTGCTTTTTAAGATGCTGTCTAGGTTTGTCATTGCTTTTCTCCCAAGAAGCAGGCGTCTTTTAATTTCGTGACTGCTGTCACCATCTGCAGTGATCATGGAACCCAAGAAATTAAAATCTCTCACTGCCTCCATTTCTTTCCCTTCTGTTTGCCAGGAGGTGATGGGACCAGTGGTCATGATCTTAGATTTTTGATGATGAGCTTCAGACCATATTTTGTGCTCTCCTCTTTCACCTTCATTAAAAGGTTCTTTAATTCCTCCTCACTTTCTGCCATCAAGGTTGTGTCATCTGCATATCTGAGGTTGTTGATATTTCTTCCGGCAATCTTAATTCTGGTTTGGGATTCATCCAGCCCAGCCTTTCGCATGATGAATTCTGTATATAAGTTAAATAAAGGGAGACAATATACAGCCTTGCCGTAGTCCTTTCCCAATTTTGAACCAATCAGTTGTTCCATATTCAGTTCTAACTGTAGCTTCTTGTCCCACATAGAGATTTCTCAGAAGACAGATGAGGTGATCAGGCACTCCCATTTCTTTAAGAACTTGCCATAGTTTGCTGTGGTCGACACAGTCAAATGTTTTTGTGTGGTCAATGAAACAGAAGTAGATGTTTTTCTGGAACTCTCTAGCTTTCTCCATAATCCAGTGCATGTTTGCAATTTGATTTCTGGTTCCTCTGCCCATTCAAAATCCAGCTTGCACTTCTGGGAGTTCTCAGTCCCCATACTGCTTAAGCCTTCCTTGTAGAATTTTAAGCATAACCTTGCTAGCATGTGAAATGAGTGCAATTGTGGGGTAGTTGGAGCATTCTTTGGCACTGCCCTTCTTTGGGATTGGGATGTAGACTGATCTTCTCCAGTCCTCTGGCCACTGCAGGGAGTTTTCCAAACTTGCTGGAATATTGAGTGTAGCACCTTAACAGTATCATCTTTTAAAATTTTAAATAGTTCTGCTGGAATACCATCACTTCCACTGGCCTTGTTATTAGCAGTGCTTTCTAAGGCCCATTTGACTTCACTCTCCAGGATGTCTAGCTCAAGGTCAGCAACCACACTACCTGGTGGGAGTGGAGGACCACCAAAAGTGCCCCATCAGAAGATCTCAGTGATCAAAGGGAGCGTAAGGAACCAGGTGGTCCTTAAGGTATACTAGCCCCATGTTGTTTTTAGGGATTTGCGAATTGACACGATAACTCTGAACCTGGTTTGGTAGCTAATCCATATCAAAAGGCAGCCACCACCCCTGTCAAAATGGCCTAGGGCGGGTGAGGTAGCTGGGTCCAGTTCCTTACCCCAGCCCTAAACTCAAGCAGTTTCCTTAAATGAAAACATCTAGAACAGAGGCAAGACACTGGCAACTGCACATCTGTTATTCAATCTTTAAAAAGAAAAGGGACTGGGAAGCACCAAGACTCACCTTCAAGAAGGCAAATTCGTTGGTTTCCGCCAAGGCAGCTTCGATCCCAGATATGGTCTCTGTGTGAGCTGAGCTGAACGCTCTCAGATATTCCAGTCTTCTCTCCATTTCTGCCTGGTTCTCCTCCTTCATCTGCCTAACCGTTTCCATCATGTTCTGCTCTCTCTCGTTGAGGATTTCACGCAGTTCCTCAAACGCAATGAAGATGCAGCCACACAGGTGTTGATTGAGATTCTACAGTGAATCACAGAGAGCTGAAGTTATGCTTATGGCTGACAGGCCTTTTGTTCACAGATAACAAGATGTCTGAATTAGTTGCTGAATTTGTGGCACAGAGAAGGTCCTAACCTCAGCGCTGAGTTAAACAAACCATAGTTAAGGAAGACGGCTAGCTGGGTTCACATGTAACACCAAGCCATAGTTAAAACAAGCCAAGATTTATAAGCCAAGAACCACGGCTTCAGATTGTGGTTTGCTGGCAGTAAATAAGCCATAATTATGTTGCTGGGCAGAGTTCACACATAACACTAAGCCATGGTTTACTAAGCCATCACATCACGTATAAACAACGCCTGAAACTTTTCTGTAATCTGCTTTCTTCCTGCCTAGGAGCCTATTTCTTCAAGCTACAACGTTCTATGATTTCCTCTCTCATACTCCTTTTAAAATTTACCTCCAGTTCTTCCATGGCCTCCTGCTGTTGAGACTGATTATTTATGGCCCACTTCACCCCATTCTCCAGGGGTTCCAGAGATGCTTTCAGTTTATCCTGAATAAATGCACAAATAAAATTGGGAATACACAAACAATCATGCAAAAGGTCTGGAGAGAAAAATGAATAGACCCAAGCAAAAGGTTACTGGTCTCTTCCCCCTCCCACCTCCCTGTTCTAACATGCTCTTTCTGGGAAGTATTCAAAGGTTGTAACCCTAAGCAACCTTACGACATGGCACCTTGGATCCAGTGGGATTTATTTTGGCAGAAACATGCTTGAATCACGCCCCCTGCCTTTTACAAGACTGGTTGGCGCATGCCTGTCCATTCATTGATGTCTACACCAACAGTACCAAATCATGACCCGCATGCATGAATGAACCATCACAGATTGAATGCCACAGATTGCATCTCAGAAAATATTTATGTGTCCATACACACATTCAGGGTTAAACAACAGGTAATGCATGGGAGCTGTTTTGAGCGGGGAAAGGGGAGAGAGGGGATTGGACTAGATGACCATTGGGGGCCTTCCAACACTACGGTTCTATGAAACCTTGGCAGTCACTGCCAATACTGAGTTAGATGGACTAATTATCTGACTCTCTATAAGGCAGCTTCTTTTGCTCCTTTGCCAGTGCACTCACTCGACTTCATGAAATGAGCCAGAGCTGTAAAGTGGACAATATCAATGTGAACATATATTATTAAATGCAAAACTAATAAAAAAAAAATTAAAAATAGAGAGGGGTTTGGAAAAGCCACTTCGGGGCTTGAATGTTGCGCCGCACCGTAAACTTGGCTGCGCTAGAGATCTGCAGCCTAAAATCTGGCTGGGATACAGCAAACCAACATGCAATATCTATCCGTGTTTGCATACGTGGACAACTGCACTCAGACTTCGAAGCCTTGCTTCTATTTGTTTATCCACCCTGCACTATTCTGCTGCCAGAGAGATAAAACTTATGGCTATCCCAGAGGGAGGGTGTGTCACTCTCCGATAAGAACATAGGCTGTGCAGGCATGATGAGTCCCAAGGTTGACCCCTGGCAGTTCCAGTTACAGGATTGCCCCAGGATATTCATTAAGTAAGTGGTGGCAGGAACAGGACCTCACAGATTTTACTGGGACTGCAGCACATGAGGACGGGATATTTGACCTTTTCCCTCTGAGCTGCATCCCCAATTAAAATTGCCCATCTCCATCTATTAGTTCTGGTGGTGGCAGCTGTGGGAAATCCCATGCCTAGTTTGGTGCTCATATGCTGGGCAAAATACGAAGCAGTGGGGTCTAGAATGCTCAAGTCAGTATGAATGTTCACATGTTACAGTCAATCAGTGCACAATTTGTGTGCACAAATAGTTGAACTGTACACTTGCTGACAGTTACCTGTGCACGGTCTGTGTACGCAGCAATGCAGCTGTATAAATTGCCATGTGTACACTCTCTCACATAAAGACCCGTAATGTGTGAACAAGCCTCCAGTAGAACAATTTAATACAGTCGTACCTTGGAAGTCGAACAGAATCTGTTCTGGAAGTCCATTTGACTTCCAAAATGTTCAGAAACCAAAGTGCTGCTTCTGATTGGCTAGGTTAAGTACTTAATTCGTTCCGGAGGTCCGTACTTAACCTGAAACTGTTCTTAACCTGAAGCACCACTTTAGCTAATCGGGCCTCCCACTGCTGCCATGCGATTTCTGTTCTCATCCTGAGGTAAAGTTCTTAACCCGAGGTATTATTTCTGGGTTAGCGGAGTCTGTAACCTGAAGGGTATGTAACCTGAAGCGTATGTAACCCAAGGTACCACTGTAGTTAAAATCGTTAGTAGGTTTGGAATATCACTTGTAGTTTAATGGTGAATTCTGGATACAATGGGGAGATAGAAGATTTGGATTATTATAAAAGACCCAGGAGGAAATGGTTAACCATAGGACCCACAAAGGGGAGGAGGAGCAGTCCAAGAGATCCCTTGGAACCTTGTTTTTATATTGTACGTTGGACACGTAAAATTTTAATCTGAAAAACCAAATAAATAAATTTTGAAAAAAAGAAAAGAAAGACAACACAGCCCCTCTTTTGTACAGTGGTACCTTGGGTTACATATGCTTCAGGTTACATACGCTTCAGGTTACAGACTCCGTTAACCCAGAAATAGTGCTTCACGTTAAGAACTTTGCTTCAGGATGAGAGCAGAAATCATGCTCCAGCGGCGTGGCAGCAGCAGGAGGCCCCATTAGCTAAAGTGGTGCTTCAGGTAAAGAACAGTTTCAGGTTAAGAATGGACCTCTGGAACGAATTAAGTACTTAACCCGAGGTACCACTGTACCTGGTTCCGGCTGGTGAAACTTGGGCATTCTAGGACAGTGCAAAGTGGATCCCAACAGCCTAAGATCTGCGGCCACCTATCATCCCACAGAAACTCAAGCATCCTCAGGCTCCTACCTGAAAACCTGTGACAGCATTCTTGATAGGCAAAAAGCTATGGCCCTGGTGCTGAGGCAGATCCCGGCAGATCACGCAGACAGGGGCCTCATCCTGGCTGCAGAAGAGCTTGAGAGGCTCTTCGTGCTCCTCGCAAAAGTACGAGCTCCCGGTCCCACCCGACGGGGGACCCTGCTCCAGCCGCAGGAGCCGGGCCTTCTCAGACAAGTTGGCCAGGACCCTGTTGCGGGCGGCATCTTTCAGGTCGAAGGGATCCCGGCACTCGGGGCACGTTCCCTGGTGCTGCCCCTTGGGGACGACGCAGCTCTCCAAGCAGGAGAGGCAGAAGTTGTGCCCGCAGACCAGCATGCGGGGGTCCTGGAAGATGGAGAGGCAGACAGGGCACAGCAGGTCTTCGGCAATGCTGGAGACTTCGCGGACCGAGGTCATGGCAGCAGCTGTTCCGGGGATCGGTTGCTACTTGCAGGAAAGGACCAGCTTCCTAAGGGAGAGGACATGCAGCTTTAAGGAACGTAGAGGGGAAATCACAGGGTGAACTTGTAAAAGGGAGTCAGTACGTTTCCGAGCACAATTCAAAGTATTGGTGCTGACCTTTAAAGCCCTAAACGGCCTCAGTCCAGTATACCTGAAAGAGCGTCTCCACCTCCATCGTTCTGCCCGGACACTGAGGTCCCGTGCTGAGGGTCTTCTGGCGGTTCCCTCACTGTGAGAAGCGAAGCTACAGGGAACCAGCAGAGGGCCTTCTCGGTAGTGGCACCCGCCCTGTGGAATGCCCTCCCACCAGATGTCAAAGAGAAAAACAACTACCAGACTATTAGAAGACATCTGAAGGCAGCCCTGTTTAGGGAAGCTTTTAATGTTTAATAGGTTATTGTATTTTGGTGTTCTGTTGGAAGCCGCCCAGAGTGGCTGGGGAAACCCAGCCAGATGGGCGGGGTATAAATAATAAATTATTATTTATTATTATTATTATTATTGGAGCACCCCACAATCGCCTAACCTTGGCTCCTGTAGGTTCTGGTTGGGGGTCACAAATAAGACTTCAGCCAAGAGATCGAAGCAAAACAGCGGCCAGTAGGCCTGATCTTTATTGTTGCAACAAGACTTCGCACTACCACATAAAAGAAGCAGAGAGAAGCCCCGAACAAAGGATAGCTCCCCCCCTTTAAAAAATGTCCCAGATTACCCATAACCCCCTTAGTAAAACATCATACATTTGTCATAACTATGTCATAAATTGGGAGGGCTCTTCTGGCAGAAACCTGAGCACAAGGCTTGTCCTGTCCCTTGTATGACCGTCACCTTCCAATCTTTAGGTGAAACGAAGTATTTACATTTTCCTGTTTTCCCAACCAGGTTAAGCACACAAGGTGGGGCGAGCCGGGGCAGGTCGCTTTGTGTGGCCTCTGAGGAGTCTGTCTGCCTCCTCCCACTCAGCCACCCTACAGCTGAGGGGGAGGCGGCAGGCAGAATGTTTGGGGCAGTGTGGAGCCTGTGTGCGCCCAAGCCACTGTGTCACTCCCAGGAGAGATGTGTGGCTCGAACGCGCTAGAAGCCCAGTGGTGAGTGGTGCCACCCGGCATTTTGTCACCCCCTCAGTGGTGACACCTGGGGCAGACCACCCCCACCACACTCCCTTCCTCCGCCCCAGGCCAGGATGCCAGCGATTATCACCCAGGCAATGGGCAATGGGGACCCTTCAGGGATTATGGCTCCCCCATCCCATGTCCCAAACTCCTCCCCTGCTAGCCATTTTCCTTCTGAGTAGAACAACGTTGGCATGATGACAATCCGTCACTGGAGTGATTTTATATGAATTTCGAAAGTTTTCCCATTGAACCAGTTGGGGGTCACAAGCAAGAGACTTCAGCAAGCAAATCACAAGCAAAACAGTGGCCAGTGGCCAGCGGCGGAGGAATAATATAACAATAATTTATTATTTATATCCCACCCATCTGGCTGGGCTTCCCCAGCCACTCTGAGCGGCTTCCAACAAAATATTAAAATACCGTAATACATCAAACATTAAAAGCTTCCCTAAACAGGGCTGCCTTCAGATGTCTTCTAAAAGTCTGGTAGTTGTTTTTCTCTTTGGTGGGAGGGCGTTCCACAGGGCGGGTGCCACTACCAAGAAGGCCCTCTGCCTGGTTCCCTGTATCTTGGCTTCTTTCAGTGAGGGGACCGCCAGAAGGCCCTCGGAGCTGGACCTCAGTGTCTGGGCAGAACGATGGGGGTGGAGACACTCCTTCAGGTATACTGGACCGAGGCCATTTAAGGCTTTAAAGGTCAGCACCAACACTTTAAATTGTGCTCGGAAGCCGCTCAGGCGCCTGGGGCAGTGCGCCCAGGGGCAGGGTGAGCCACCCATAGGATCAGGGCGCACAGCGGGGCCTCCGGAGACTGCCTGCCTCCTCCTACTCAGCCGCCCTACAGCTGGGGGGGGGGAGGCAGCGTGTGGATCATTTGGGCAGCGTGGAGCTTGCCCGCGCCCAAGCCAACGCGTGGCTCGGGCACACTGCAGGCCCCCGGTGAGTGCCGCCCGGCATTTTGTCACCCCCTCAGTGGTGACACCCGGGGCTGACCTCACCTCCCGTACCCCCTTCCTCTGTCTTGCCAGAAGGCCTGATCTTTATTGATCAATTCATTTATCAGTGCATTGCTACATTTGGTAATATGCAGCAGAGGCTTTTTGTCTTTGCCTCATAGTACGGAGAGGCAAGGGTCTGGTGGGGGGTTGGGAAGGTCTCTCACACCTCTTCCAATTTCCCGGTAACAAACGCGAAAGGCAAAGAAGCAACAAGTGGAAAGGCAGCATTTCTGACGTTTCCTCCACACGACTCTTTGGTGACGGCTCCTCTGCTCCCGAACCCTGCCTAGAAGTGAATGGGGCAGGGGCTGAAGAGGGGACCCCCAACCAACCCTGCTGTAAACAACCACAGGAAAGCTGCAGAAAATATTATTTCCCCCTGCAGGTGGGACAGTTAGACAGGAAACAGAAAGGGGAAACAGGATCATGAGACTGGGCTCACATGACTGCAGGAATTTGACTCTCAAACCCAAGCATTAAAAAGCGGGCATTGCTGGCTCATAGCTGTCAACTTTTCCCCTTTCTTGCGAGGAATCCCATTCCTTAAGAAAAGGGGAAACGTTGACAGCTATGTGCTGGCTGGTGGGGGGGGGTGCGAAGAAAGCCGAGCTGCCTCCAGCCAAGTCCCAGGAGGTGGGAAAGGATAAGGTGCCCCAAGTGCTGGGAGGGAGGCGTTTTGCAGCGCCAAAAGGGGAGCAAGAAAAGCAAAGTCTAGGCTAGACAGCAGCAGCTGTGCACGTACCTACTCGGAGGAGAGTTCTGGAGCACCCGGGGCCAACAGGCCAAGTTTCTCTCACTGCCCAGCTGCCCCAAATGGCCAGGCCTCGACAGCAGCTGTGGGAAGCTGTCACGTCCTGGGATTGGAAGGAGGTGCTGCCCGTCTCAAGTCAGCCCGAGCCAGTGTGACCGTGAGGGCTTGGAGGCCTCGAGGCACCACCCTCTTCCTCGTGCTTATTGGCTGGGGCAGGACTTGGGACCGGAGGAAGCAGTCGGGAAGCCTGCTTGCAACACACACAGGCACACAGGTTTTTTTATGCTCCAGGGGACAGGTACTTCCCTGGAGATTTTATGTGCGCTCTTCTTTATGTGACAAATTCAATGCCTGTTGTTCTATGCAGGGAAACCCCCCATGTTATTATAGTCACTTCGAAACACTTCAGTTGTAAAAAGTGGCAAATGCAACAAATAAGCACCTTAACTTTGTTACAAGAAAATATGTATTAATATAAATAAAGGTCAATCACTTCGTTTTTTTATCATGCTTGAATAATGTATGTGTTTATGTACTTGCATCTTTTCTGAGAATGTAGCTCTCCTTAAGTCTTTTAAACACTTTCGTAAAGGTATCCACACTTTTTTATATATATCTGTATAAATCGAAAGCTACCTGATCCTGCACAATGAAAGCTCAAGCACTAATACAGGGCCACAGCTCCACCTACAGGATCTACAGTGATATGACACCAATTTACAAATGCAACTGTTTATTTCAATTTCTTCCAGTAGCACCTTAAAGACCAACTAAGTTAGTTCTTGGTATGAGCTTTCGTGTGCATGCACACTTCTTCTTTATTTCAAGTTGCAGGTAGGTAGCCGTGTTGGTCTGCCGTAGTCGAAACAAAATAATAAAAAATTCCTTCCAGTAGCACCTTTTGTTGTTGTTTAGTCGTTTAGTCGTGTCGGACTCTTCGTGACCCCCATGGACCAGAGCACGCCAGGCACTCCTGTCTTCCACTGCCTCCCGCAGTTTGGTCAGACTCATGTTTGTAGCTTCGAGACCATTGTCCAACCATCTCGTCCTCTCTCGTCCCCTTCTACTTGTGCCCTCCATCTTTCCCAACATCAGGGTCTTTTCCAGGGAGTCTTCTCTTCTCATGAGGTGGCCAAAGTATTGGAGCCTCAGCTTCAGGATCTGTCCTTCCAGTGAGCACTCAGGGTTGATTTTCTTCAGAATGGAGAGGTTTGATCTTCTTTCAGTCCATGGGACTCTCAAGAGTCTCCTCCAGCACCATAATTCAAAAGCATCAATTCTTCGGCGATCAGCCTTCTTTATGGTCCAGCTCTCACTTCCACACATCACTACTGGGAAAACCATAGCTTTTACTATACGGACCTTTGTTGGCAAGGTGATGTCTCTTCTTTTTAAGATTCTGTCTAGGTTTGTCTAGGTAGCACCTTAGAGACCAACTAAGTTTGTTATTGGTATGAGCTTTCGTGTGCACGCACACTTCTTCAGATACACTGAAACAGAAGTCACCAGACCCTTACATATAGTGAGAGGGTGGGGAGGGGTATTACTCAGAAGGGTGGTGGGAATGGGTGATTGGCTGATAGGTGTGGTAAACCTGTTGACTACTGTTAACGACTAGGCTGAGTGGGAATTCATGCTAAGGTGATGCCATTTAATTTCATTGGGTGTATTCCGAGTAAGACTAACAATTCAGTAAAGTATTTTGGGTTGGCTAAAGCAATAGCACCACCTACAGTTTGACACAAGCAGCACACACTGCAGCAAACTCTTCCCAAGAATATTGTTGAGGTCAGATAGCTGTAAGGAGGACGTTCTTAAAGTCTCTGGAAGAGACTTATTGGCTGATGCACAGGATGAGGAAGAAATTATTCTCACAAAGTCCCCTCCTTCATGTTACTGTCCTACTGCCAATTTTAATTGAGTCCTGTTTTCTTGTTGTGGCCTTGTCCACCTTCCAGGGTCTAAGTCCAGCCCCTCTTCTGACCTATATGATGCCCCCACTTTATTACATCATAAGTGACAGCTCTGTGTTACCTGCTGTGGACATGGAAGACCACACCCCCCTCTCCCTGTGATTGGGTGAGTTGCTCTGATGTCATGGAATGTTACTGCCTGTTAGAATTGCTGCAACATAGGGCAACACTGTCGACAAAAGAATGCTTTTCGGAATCTCGAGACACGTTCTGTTTTATTTTGCGGTAAAATTTGGAGGATCTCTGGGGTGTTGTTTTTGTGTGTGCATTTTAAGCACAAAAAACACTGAGAGACCCCCTCTTCTTCTGCAAAAGGCCACTGTGCATACTGGAGACAGAAAGGGACTACAGTGGTACCTCGGGTTAAGTACTTAATTCGTTCCGGAGGTCTGTACTTAACCTGAAGACCACTTTAGCTAATGGGGCCTCCTGCTGCTGCTGCCGCGCCACCGGAGCACGATTTCTGTTCTCATCCTGAAGCAAAGTTCTTAACTTGAAGCACTATTTATGGGTTAGTGGAGTCTGTAACCTGAAGCGTATGTAACCTGAAGTGTATGTAACCCGAGGTACCACTGTATTGACAGGTAGAAGGTTGGCAAAGATATTTTAGTGACTGGAGGTTCACAGTGGATTGAAGAGCCAGACCATTGGTCCATCTCATTCAGCATTATCTACAATGACCGCCCAGGATTTTCAGACCAGGTGCTCTCCCAGCCCTACCCGGAATTGCTGGAGAATGAATCTGCAAAGCGGATGTTCTGCAGCTCTCCCCAAAAGCACCAGCCAAATCTCCAACTGAGGATTAACTCTGTTACGTCCTCCGCACACTGCTGCTGCCAAACCCTTAAACTATCCTTGCTCCCATTCCTGCGTCACTTGTCATTTAAAAGGACCCTCCCTCTATTCCCGCATCCCACTCCATCTTCATATGCTTGGGACATCTCCCAATACCCCCCACCCCCCAATTCTCTGTGCCCTGTGTAAAGGGCACTGCTGCAGGATGGTTCCTCCTCCTCCTCCTCCAACCTGGAAGGGGAAAGTGCTGACTCAGTTTTGCTGGAGCGCTGGCAGTTTTGCAGAGGCCAGAATTGCTGCGTCAACATCATTGCACCTCCGTAGAAGTGAGCCTTGCTGCAATATGCAGGATCTGAATGCAAAGGGGAGGGCAGGCTGGGGAGGGGGTTAAGGAGGACAAAGGCAAGCCCATGCAGAGGATAAGGGAAAACCTAGGCTAATTCAAGAGGAGAGGTCCTAACCTGATCCTAATCCAGGAGCAAATAGCCCCCCGGAGAAGACTGGGAAACAGCAGGGAAGGACATTTCAGCTAAAAGGGTAAGAGAGAGTTTTGTGCTCCTTGCAACCAGGCAGTCTTCTTTGGAGGGGAAGAGGGGAGTGAAAGCTCCTGAGAAGGCTTTGGTGTAGTCCTAGGCTGTGTACACATCATTCATTTAAAGCACACACACTCCAAGATCCTGGGAACGGTAGCTTTTGAGGGTGCTGGGAATTGTAGCTCGGGGGGTGTGTTAAACCACAGTTCCCAGGATTCTTGGGGTGTGCTTTAAAAAAAAAAGTATGGTGTTTAAGCAGCCCTGAAGACATTGGGAAGCAAGTTCTGTGGGGCTTCTCTGACTAAACTTGCTAAGGATTGTTTTAGGACAAGCTTCGAAAATAAACTTGAACCCAGCCTGAAAGGTGACACTCACAGAGGAAAACCACTGGCTAGGTACGACGTTTTGTGATGGAAGAGCTCTTGAATTTTGAAAAACCAAACATAAAACTTCATATATTTATAGTAAGCTCTGAAGAAAAGTGTGTTCCTTGAATCAGCAAAGAGTGTGTTATGATTTGTTAATCATTGGCTGTTTGTTCTAATATACGCTACTAAAATAAAAAAGGGTTTTAAAACCCTTAGTAGCAGGTGAACTAAAGAGCAGGGGTCAAACAGGATTTTTTGAGCTGTGTGACTTTTAGGTCTTGTGAGATTATTATGGTCTGGGGTACTGTAGAAGAGCAACTCTGCAGGTCAAATCTTGTGTAAGTTTCTAGCTCACTATAAACATTTCCAGACAATCTGTTTTATTGAGCATTTGTCCTGGGTTTGTTTGCAGGGAGATTAGATGATGTTGGCTATTTAATAGGCATTCAGACAGTTGGTTTGTAGGGAGATTAGACGATGTTGCTTCACAGCATGGGCTATTCCACACTTTCCAGTGCATTTCCCTGTCACTTTCCATACCACAAAAAGTCCAATTTTGTGGGGAGGAGGGCTTGTTGTGCAAGATCTTCCAATGTCCTATAATTGTGCAAATTGAATTTGCCGGTATGTGATTAAATCCAACCCCAAGATAGCAACAGTCCTGAAGTGCTTTAAGGCAGCTTTCCCCTCCAAATGAACATATGGGCATATCTGACTGTATACAGGGAAACTACACAGTGTAACCCAGTTTTCTACATCTTCTTTTATTTTAAATTATCACCATCACCACCATCATTAATAAACAGGAAAAGGTCGTTGATGCTTCTGTTCAAAGAAACATCACATAGAAAAAAAGCTCAACTGAAAGCCTGAAAGTAAAAGAAGCTTTGCGATCCTTTGTGAGAGGAAAAAACAAACATTTTGGCTCATTGGAGAGAAAAATCCACCAAAGTCCCCTAAGCCAATAGGTACAGGCCCAGCCATACCAAGGAAAAGTGGTAGCTGTGGCGGCCTCTCTCTTTTCAACATGGCGTCCGTGAAAGAGGTATCCAGCTTCACTGAGGACCTGCTGTGCCCCATCTGCCTCTCCATCTTCCGAGACCCACACATGCTGGAGTGCGGCCACAGTTTCTGCGCCCCGTGCTTGGAGCCCTGCATCCCCAAGGGCCAGAGGCGCGGGCTGTGCCCCGAGTGCCGGCGGCCATTTGCTTTGCGCCGCATGGCCATCAACCGAGCCCTCTGCAGCCTGGCCGAGAAGGCCCGCCTTCTCAAGCTGGACGAAGGCCCCCAGGTCGGCGGGACCGGAGGCTGGTACTTCTGCGAGGAGCACGAGGAGCCGCTCAAACTCTTCTGCAGCCAGGACGAGGGGCCCGTCTGCGTGATCTGCCGCGACTTGCCTCAGCATCGTGGGCACGACTTCCTGCCCATCAAAAACGCGGTTCAGGCCTATCAGGTGAGAGAGGCGGTTTGTTATTCAGC